TTATTACCCCCTATCTTTCTATTATTACCCTCTATTATTACCCCACCCTCTCTTTTATTACCCCACCCTCTCTATTATTACCCCTCTATTTCTATTAGTACCCTCTCTATTATTACCCCTCCCTCTCTTTTATTACCCCTCCCTCTCTATTATTACCCCCTATCTTTCTATTATTACCCTCTCTATTATTATTGCCTCCCTCTCTATTATTAACCCCTCCCTCCCTATTATTGTTGCCTTCCCTTCTATTATTACCCCATCCCTCCAGTAACTTTACTTTTCTCACTGCTCTATATGACTATGTTATACTGCCCCAGATCTAGCTTTGGCCCACAAAAAAACAAAATTTGAATCATGTACATGCACTATAAAACATTTATATCCGACAATGAAAACATAAACTTAAACTGACGCCCAGCTTTTTGTGCCAAGGCAACTTCCCAATCGGACAAGCAAGATAAAATGTTCACTTGCCTGTCATGATTTTCACTTGCCCCGGGCAAGCACACAAGTGTTAAATTACACCTCTATAAATTGTTGTGACAATGTGTTGTGACAATGCTGCTCCAACAACTTGTCAACAAGATGTCTCCTCAACAGGCTTGTAGCATGCTTGTTAACAAGTTGTGACAACGCTGTTCCAACAACTTGTCAACAGAATGTCTCCTCAACAGGCTTGTAGCAAGCTTGTTAACAAGTGGTGACAATGCTGTTCCAACAAGTTGTCAACAAGATGTCTCCTCAACAGGCTTGTAGCAAGCTTGTTAACAAGTTGTGACAACGCTGTTCCAACAACTTGTCAACAGAATGTCTCCTCAACAGGCTTGTAGCAAGCTTGTTAACAAGTTGTGACAATGCTGTTCCAACAACTTGTCAACAAAATATCTCTTCAACACACTTGTGGCAAGCTTGTTAACAAGTTGTGACAATTCTGTTCCAACAACTTATCGAAAAGATGTCTCCTCAACAGGCTTGTAGCAAGCTTGTTAATTAACAAGTTGTGACGATGCTGTTCGAACAACTTGTCGACAAGATGTCTCCTCAACAGGCTTCTTGTAGCAAGCTTAACAAGTTGACAATGCTGTTCCAACAACTTGTCGACAAAGTGTCTCCTCAACAGGCTTGTAGCAAACTTGTTAACAAGTTGTGACAATGCTGTTCCAACGACTTGTCAACAACTGAGATGTCTCTTCAACGCACTTGTAGCAAGCTTGTTAATAACAAGTTGTGACAATTCTGTTCCAACAACTTGTCAACAAGATGTCTCCCCAACAGACTTGTAGCAAGCTTGTTAACAATTAACAAGTTGTGACAATGCTGTTCCAACAACTTGTCATCAAGATGTCTCCCCAACAGGCTTGTAGCAAGCTTCTTAACAAGTCGTGACAATTCTGTTCCAACAACTTGTCAACAAGATGTCTCCTCAACAGACTTGTAGCAAGCTTGTTAACAAGTTGTGACAATTCTGTTCCAACAACTTGTCGACTAAGATATCTCTTCAACAAGCTTGCAGCAAGCTTGTTAACAAGTTGTCACAATGCTGTTCCAACAACTTGTCAACAAGATATCTCTTCAACAGGCTTGTAGCAAGCTTGTTAACAAGTTGTGACAATACTGTCCCAACAACTTGTCAACAAGATGTCTTCTCAACAAACTTGTAGCAAGCTTGTTATCAAGTTGTGACAATTCTGTTCCAACCATTTGTCGACAAGATGTCTCTTCAACAAGCTTGTAGCAAGCTTGTTAACAAGTTGTGAGAATTCTGTTCCAACAACTTGTCAACAAGGTGTCTCCTCAACAGGCTTGTGATAAACTTGTTAACAAGTTGTGACAATGCTGTTCCAACCACTTGTCAACAAGATGTCTCCTCAACAGGCTTGTAGCAAGCTTGTTAACAAGTTGTGACAATACTGTCGCAACAACTTGTCAACCAGATGTCTCCTCAACAGGCTTGTAGCAAGCTTGTTCACAAGTTGTGACAATGCTGTTCCAAGAGCTTGTCAACAAGATATCTCTTCAACAGGCTTTTATCAAACTTGTTAACAAGTTGTGACAATTCTGTTCCAGCAACTTGTCGACAAAATGTCTCTTCAACAAGCTTGTTAACAAGTTGTGACAATGCTGTTCCAACAACTTGTCGACAAGATGTTTCCTGAACACGCTTGTAGCAAGCTTGTTAACAAGTTGTAACAATTCTGTTCCAACAACTCGTCGACAAGATGTCTCCTCAGCAGGCTTGTAGCAAGCTTGTTAACAATTTGTGACAATGCTGTTCCAACAACTTGTCAACAAGGTGTCTCCAACAGACTTGTAGCAAGCCTGTTTACAAGTTGTGACAATGCTGTTCCAACAACTTGTCAACAAGGTGTCTCCAACAAGCTTGTAGCAAGCCTGTTAACAAGTTGTGACAATGCTGTTCCAACAACTGGTCAACAAGATGTTTCATTAACAGCCTTGTACCAAGCTTGTTAACAAGTTGTGACAATGTTGCTTCCCCTCCCCTTGCAACAAATAAATTATGCATGTATAATGATCAGATTTATTAATTTTCTTTGCCATTCCCAATAATGCTAAATCATATTAGAAACTTGAATGAATGTTGGTTTTTTCGCAATTTGTAGTGGCGAGAAGTGGCGAAAGAACTCGAAGGTGTCATTAGGATTGGAGCTGTGAACTGTCAGGAGGACTGGAGTCTGTGTAATCATGAAGGCATTCAGAGTTATCCATCACTTGTTCTCTATCCAGGAGTAAGCTAGTATTTGTTATTTGTATCTTAGTTACACGCGTAAAGACGCGCAAGTTGCTACAGGTCTGCAAACAAGTTATTACAAATCTTTTCACAAGTTGTCGACAAGTTGTGTTCGCACTGCTTGTTCCCAGTTGTTGTAACAAGTTTGGAACAAGCTGTTGACAACTTGTAACAAGCTTGATGGCATAATCAGACTTGTAACAAAGTTGTTCTAACAAGTCTGATACATTCATGATATAACAAGAATGTCACGCGGTTGATGACACAAGGTTGTAACAATATTGTTATATCATGACTGTATCGGACTTGTTGGAACAACCTTGCAAGAAGTCTGATAATACAGTATCAACAAGGTTGTTACAAGTTGTTTACAGTTTGTTCCAAACTTGTTGACAACTTGGGACATGCAGTGCGAACACAACTTGTTCACAACTTGTTGGCAGACTTGCTACAAGATGCGAGACTTTTGCGTGTGTACTTCACAAATTTGGTTTAATGCATGTGACACAGTCATGGCAGTGACTTAAACAGGATCATATTTTCATCAAGAATGACAGTTGTCTTACCTCGAGACATTCTCAGACTAACAAGTGATAAAATTGAAATCACATAATTTCATCCTGGAGCCCAAGATATTGTTTTGTGTGCAGTAAAAAATCTCTTTAACTCATTAATTTCTTACTTATCTTTTAGGGTGAATTTTTCCGCGGTACACGGACTACTGACAGCATAATCAACTATATTTTAGACAGCTTAGATGTTGTTCTGGTTGATTTACATTTTGGTAAGATGCATTATAATCATGACCTTTGCACTATGGTGCGACTGCTTGACACTGGCAGTTAAAATCTTTAAACAACCTGAACACTTTAATTTCATAAATTAAAGCATTATTTTTAATTTGTTAGATCAGTTTGATGCGGAAATTGACGCAAGCGATGTCCCTTGGTTAATAACATTTTGTGATCCAACTGATGAAACAGGTACAGTAGCTTTTTAGTTAGCTGGAGTACTAAGGCAAATTATTTTATATGCTGGAAAATGTGAAGTTTGCTATGTACTGTGCTCGAAAATGCCCTAGGCATTGAAATCACGAATTGAAGGTCGCCACCGAACAGCTTGGTCTGAGATTTCCAATGTGTCATAGGCAAGCTCATGTAAAGACATTCAACATTTTCATGCAAAGGTCAACACATGCATGAACGGATAGGCAACGGGCACATTGGGCCAGATAAAAATAATAGTTGGTTTCAGGTTTCACAGCCATGTTTTATATGGGTAGGTACAGTAGGTCGGAAAACATTTTATTTAAAAAAAATATTTTATCTCAAGTATGCAATAAATATAAGTTGAAACTATGATTAACATGACTAGATAATGATTAAATTATAAGCAAACAAAATAATTTGTATAGACAAATGAGTCTGATGACTATTTATATATTCTACTATTTACGAAAAGATGATCTCTGTACTGGGAAATGTCGATAAAATGTTTATGGTCGGTCATATTTTTTACAGGTCGGTCGGAAACACAATGTTGTTATTTTATCAAGTTGCTACAAGGTTGTCACTCACAACTTGTTGACAACTTGTTGAATTGCAGGACGATATCAAGTTGTTGGAACAACTTGTAACAAGTCTGTTGAGCTCAACAACCTTGTAGCAAGTTGTCAACAAGCCGTTGACGACTTGTCAACAAGCTGGTAACAAGCAGTGCGAACACATCCTGTTGACAAGTTGTTGGAACAGCATTGCTACAAGTCTGCTGCAGGACTGTTACAACTTGTGCGTTTTTCAGATTGTCTATCCCATGAATCGCAAATTAAAATCTCGGCAGTCTTGAACAACATGGTTACTGTGGGCTCAGTTGATTGTGCAAACGAAGAGGCGTTATGTAAATTTCTGGGTCGACGTTCCGGGGTCGTTTTCTATCCGGCAAAAGAAGTTACACCAGAACGTGAAACGGTATGTGAATTTGTACTGAAATTGTGTTCCATTTTTTTCTTCTCAATCGGACTGGAACATGTTCTTGACGACCTGTTTAATTAAGAACACAATAGACCTTTCCCCTTATAACTAAAATTTTGATCTAGACAAGTCTAGACAAAATTTCATCACAGCTTGAAAGAGCATCACAAAATTAGTAATATTCCGAAGTTTCGTTGCGAAATGTTGTAAAATGCGGATAATATAGCCCTGCGAAATTTTCAATTTTCAGTCATTTTGTATTACAAACGGGAAATTGATGCCCCAACACCCGATTGGGCTGTCAATTTCCCCATGCGTAATACAAAATGACTGAAAAACGGCAAACCTCGCAAGGCTATATTATCCGCATTTTACAACATTTCGCAACGAAACTTTGGAATATTACTAATTTTGTGATGCTCTTTCAAGCTGTGATGAAATTTTTCGTCTAGTTATAAGGGGAAAGGTGCATTGGAACGCGAGTGCATCATTCAGTTTTTTTTCTGAGCGCGGTTTTTTTACAATATACTAGCCACACCAGTTCTTCAAGAGCCAATACTTTACTTTATCTGAATCACTGATATTGCTCTAGGTTGTTGAAGAATACCATAGTCAAGACGTTATTCAGGCTGTACTGGGATTGTTACCTAATCTAATCTCAGTCGACGATGAATCGTTCAAGGTGAGCAGTAGCCTGCTTTTAGTAGCCTGCAAAGCAGGCGTTTTATCTGCAGGCTCACCCAAAACGCCTGTTCTGCAGGTTAGGTGAGAAGTAATTACATGGTACGCGGTATTACATGCAGCATGCTATACATATAATAAGCTACTACCATCAAGGCCAAACGTCGTGTGGACATTCATTGACTCAATCGACTGTTGCCAAAAAACCTAACAAAAAACTAAAACTGGACTTAGAAATCGTTTTGGCCTGGATTCACATCACAATGATGTGATGAATATTAACTTATTGAACATTAAGGATAGTTCCAAACTCATAGTTTTGAAAATTGGATTATTCTTTGTATTAGATGGTAGGACTTACGCCTGAACCGTGGTTGATTCATTTTGGTAAAGGAGATGTCAAAGCTCTAGAAATGAGAAAGTTGCCATCCTTGCTACCAGAATTCCAGGTAATAATTACTTATTATGATCTTTTCTGTGTTGGTGTAAAGTACTCAGGTGAATAAGATGCTTGTGATGTTACTCTGAGTGTATATCCACACCGCGGGCAAGCTTGAAAAATATGCCTGGCCACGGTGGGAATCGAACCTACGACCTACGAACCTACGACCAGCCCATTATGTGCATTAATTTGCCAATCTATAACGTTGCGTTAATAAGTTGGTCACGTGCGTGGTCTTTACTATATTTCAGGTTGGTCACGTGGATTGTGTCCAGTTTCCCGCGCTGTGCGAGATCCACCATGTTCACAAGTACCCTTCGGTTGCCCTCTTCAAGCAAAACGGAGCGTACGAATGGCATCATGGTAAGTAACGTAGTACTTGTAAGTGCTGTTGTACCACGCTGGCACTTCAATGATTATTATTGCCAGGTGCTTGAGTTGAACAAATGGGGGAAAGTGCATAACAATTATTAGAATATGTTAGAGATTTTTAGATTTTATATATGCATTCATTCATTCAACTGCTTATTCACAAGTACCTTGGAGTACCTTGAGGAGTTAATTTGCTTGTGAAGCAATATTTGAAAAGCCAGAACAGCCTTGAAAAGCTCAGTTTCCAAATGCCAGAACTCCGTTTTGAAAAGCCAAAACTCAGTTTTCAAATGCCAAAACTCTGTTTTCAAATGCCAGAACTGCACTTCCAAATGCCAAAACTCAGTTTTCAAATGCTAAAACTCAGTTTTCAAATGCCAAAACTCAGTTTTCGAATGCCAAAACTCCCTTTTCAATTGCCAGAACTACCTTTTCAAAAGCCAGACCTCCGTTTTCAAATACTGGAACTCCGTTTCCGACTTGATATATGAAAATTTTCGACCAATTTAGGTTTGATCAAATTAGTGGACACTCAATTTTGACAATATGAAACATAATTCAAAAAAATTTCTTCGGTGCCTGGGCCCCTGACGCAATTTGCAAGCTTCAAGCGAAGCGAGCAGGTTTGGACCACGTAGGGCTAACTGAAAATTGTTTTGGCTACCTAAAAAAACTAAATATACAGGCATGATTTGGGTGAAATCAAAGAAGTAAGTGCCCAGACATAACAAGTGTTTTACATCGATTTTTTTCTAGGGCGTTATACAGCCCAAGATATTGCAGTTTTTGCAAGAGACACGTCGTCGTCTAAAGTGTTTACACTTGGTCCTGACAGTTTCCCCAATCCTGTGACAACTGGTGAAGAGAACTGGTTCGTCGACTTCTTTGCACCGGTAAGACCTGTTTGTGATATCAGGGTGTAGCTGATATCTCAAATGTACAGGGGTAGTGAGTATATCAGGTGTAGTGGATATCTCAAATGTAGTGGATATATCAGATGTAGCAGATATCTCAAATGTAGTGCGGGATATATCAGGGTGTAGTGGATATCTCAAATGTAGTGGATATATCAGATGTATAGTGGATGTAGTGGATATATCAGATGTAGTCATGGATATCTCAAATATAGTGGATGTATCAGATGTAGCGGATATCTCAAATGTAGTGGGTATATCAGATGTAGTGGATATCTCAAACGTGGTGGTCCAGTGTAGGTAGTATTCTACAACAAGCTGTCGTGGTTTGTGCCTGAACTACCTGACAAAGATATCTCAAACTTGGTGGTCCAGTGTAGTTAGTATTGTACATTAAATTTCCGTAGTTTTTGACTGCACTTCCTTGATACTAGTTCATCGTTTGGCATTCAGCTTATATTTCTAAATATTTTCAGTGGTGCCCTCCTTGCATGAAGCTGCTACCAGAATGGCGCAAAGCTTCAAAAATGTACAACGATGAAAACAACGAAGTAAAATTTGGTACGGTCGACTGTACTGTCCACAAAACGTTATGCCAACAGGTAGGAGAACAGAATTGCTTTACGTATCCTCACTATCAGTTCTAAACTGTTTTCCCGGAGTCGGGAATACTTTGCTGTGATTGGTAGAGTCGAGACTCGAAGCATTCTTTTCAAACTCATTAATACTTCATGAGTAAATTAGCCAACTATATTGCTTAATTTTGCTGACATGATAATACTGGATACCTGATGAAGTATATTGATCCAGTCCTAGGACTGGATCAAAATTAATTCAGTCCATGAACTGGATCAAAATTAATTCACCTCACTCCAAGTAGTGATTTATACATATGAGATATCATTTCAAATCCTTCAATTGCCTCCAGTGTACTGCATTGTATAATCTTGATCTAACTTTATGGCTGTGATATTTTTTATATAGTACAACATCCGTTCGTATCCATCAACAGTATTTTACAACAACACAATGCCCCACTCGTTCCGAGGAAGACATTCTGTTGACAGTCTTATCGAATTTATCGAGGTACGTCAAATGTCTAATATACTTGCAACAGGTCTGAAGAAATCTCCAGAATTAATGTTGGTCAGTACACTCTTTGTATTAGCTACCGTATTTGGCATTGAAAAGTCTGCGATAAACTTATAATTATTTCAGGATACACTTCGTCCTTCATCCCAACTCTTGACACCAGAATCGTTTGATGCGTTGGTCGGTGGCAAAGCCAAAGGTGAAACATGGCTTGTAGACTTCCACGCCCCTTGGTGTTCGCATTGCCAGGAGCTGGCGCCAGTCTGGAATAAACTTGCTAAGGTTTGTTGGTGTTTCTTTACACTGCATTAAACTAGTCTAGAAGGCCCTCAAAGACGGCACACTTCCGCCAGCGAAAGTATTAAGGCTTAGGTCAGACATGTAATGTTCAGTTCTTTTACGAGACAATGTAAAATTTTCATTCAATTTTCATGCAAATTCAACTAGAATTGGTCGATTTGTCCTTGGAGTACGACCAAGCTGTACTAACTTACTTTTGGAACATATTTTTGTAGTTATCCTATTGTAGTTGAAAGCAAGTTTAGCTATGGTAGATTTATATTTGAGCTGTATCTTTGTTTTAGAAATTAAAGGGAGAAGCAAGTGTTGGGTCAATTGACTGTCAGAAGTACAACAGTTTTTGTACACGTCATGGAATTCAATCTTTTCCGACAATAAGGTTATATCCTCATTCTTCAGAAGGAGTACGAAGATCTGTGTAAGTGGAGTGTACTATTGAACTTCAAACTATGCTAAGCTTAATTAACTTTATATCCACACTGTTTTGTCTATAGAGGTCCAGTAAGAGTCATCCCTTGGCCTTGTTGATCCAGTTTTGCTACAGGAATAAAACTAAACTTAACTAACTTTATTTAATCCCTTGTTGATCTAGTCTAAACTTAACTAACTTTATTTATACCGGTACAGGCATTATCAAGGCTGGCACAATCTTGACTCTTTGCATTCCTGGGCGTTCCGCTATCTACCTTCCATAGTAACAGATCTCAACTCCTTTGATTTTGATGACAAATTATTGATTTCTGAATCTCCTTGGATCGTGGACTTCTTCGCGCCGTGGTGTGGCCACTGTGTTCATTTTGCTCCTTATTTTGAGAAACTCGCGAAGGTAAATGATGCAAAATTTGAACCAATAGAAAACACAGCTAAAACTAAGCTAATCGAAAGCTCTACTTGGGATTCGTTTACATATAAAACCTGCGTAGAAGTCTAATAAGCTATATTGTAATGGTCCAGTGTTACCACAGGAGGCAAACATGCATGAACTAAACTAGCTTTATACTTGTTAGTTATATCAGTTCTAAACTGTTCTCCCTAGAGGTCAAGTGAATGTCTTGCCTTATTGATAAAGTGTTACTACAGGAGGAAATCTGAACTAAACGAACTTTATTTATACTTGTTAGCTCTATCAGTTCTGTACTGTTCTCCCTAGAGATCCAGCAAGGGTAACACCTTATTAATCCAGTGTTACTACAGGAGAAAAACAGCGGTGTTTGATAGAGTAAACTGGAAGTACTATTGCGAACATATAATCGAAATCTAAACCATTTAATCCGGTCACAGACATCACATGGACATGCATACTAACCTTTTAGGCACCAATTAAGAAAAACTATTTATATAATAACTACAGTGAAACACGCAATTTGATTGGTCAATAGCCGTGCAGGATCAGGCTATCCTGCACGAGGAATTAAAATGCCTTTGCGGGATTTTCGCGGGATTCTCAAAATGTCATTGTTTCACTGTAGTTATTTTATAAAACAATTACCAAATGGTTTTCCAAGCAGGATAGCGTGATCCATGCACTTGGGATGTTGCTCGACTTTCGGAAAGCGTAAAAATACACTCGCCTGCGGCTCGAGTATTTTTACGCTTTCCGAAAGTCTCGCGACATCCCTCGTGCATGGATCACACAATCCTGCACGGAAAACCATTCGGTATTCCTTTAGTGCTGCTATATGTTACTATAACCTATGTGTGACTATGTGTTACTATGTGTTTATGTGCGACTATGTGTTACTGTGCGTGTAAATATGTGTAAACCATGCGTTACTATGTGTTACTATGTGCTGCTATGTGTGACGATGTGTAACCTTGTACCACTATGTGTATAACTATGTGTTACTATATGTTACTATATATGTGTGACTATATCTTTTCAGAGATTGGAAGGCAAAGTTCAATTCGGCAAAGTGAACTGTGACGAACATCACCATGTTTGTGTTGAAGCCGGGGTGCGGGCGTATCCTTCGATCATCTTTTACCGTGGGGCAACGAATGGTCGTAGTCAGGTAATCGTAGCATTGAGTTTGCCACTTTCTTGGAACTTTTGTGACTTCTGAAGCCCCGTTTACACTACGCTCAATGTTTGGTACGGCACGGATAAAATTGGTACCCGTACCACTTTTTTGGTTCTTGGACTACCTATTAAGATAGTCCAAGAACCAAAAAAGTGGTACGGTACCAAAAGTCAAGCGTAGTGTAAACGAGGTTTGAGAAGCTTTTTGCCTTCAATTGAAATTTATTAATACGTGGCATCGCACAGCATAGAAACATGTTTCATGTACTATTTAAAACATGGGCAGCAATGTTTTATCAGATATATAGATACGAGGCGAAGTCGAGTTTCTTTAGGTTTGATAAAACACGTACTGCGAATGTTTTAAATTGCTTCAAAAACGATCGATTTAGTAAGTTTATTGGCGAAGTAATTTAAAAAAAATCAAAATTAAAGTTTATGTAAATTAAGGGAAATCTCTATCACATATAAAGATGCGACACGCTTGTATTTTTTCTTTGTGTTTTCCTCATGAATTATTAATGAGTTTTTTAATTCATTTTAAGATGTATTCAACATTTTCTTTTTCTAGCCGAGTCGTGGTGATCACGCGTTCAGATCTCAAGATATTGATGACATGTATGACGCCACGATGAGGCTACTGCAAGATTTGGAAGACAGGAAAGATAAACAAAAGAAGAAAACAGCCAAGAGTAGAAAGGTAAGAGGTTTTGAACTTCAAACTACCATAAGTTCTGAACTGGCTTCTCTAGAGGTCCAGTCAAGGAATCAAATTACGATGAGAACACTTGTTTGGTAGAGTCAAACTGGAAGCACTTTTCTGACATGTAACTGAGGTGAAATTATAATCAGACAACTGTATATTGCAAGCATTAAACTAGTGTTGTTTTAGTCAACTAAAACTAAAACCCTATTTTAGTCGTGCCAAAATAATTTAGTCAACTGTAAATAAAGTTGTCTTAGTTTGTATAGTCCTGGCAGGCTTCCAGTGCATTATTCACTTCAATCACTTGAACAGGTCAACTTGAAAGCAATTTTGAATTTGAAATAAACAATTTCTGATTTTAAATATATAATATTTGGTCTTTCCTGGCCTAGTAGTGGCCTTTATGCTAATATTTTCGTACATATTTGAATCACTGAAAACTAAAACTAAATGCTTTCTTAGCTAGGACTAAACCAGAAGTAAAATGAAATTCCAGTTTCGAACTCGAACTAAACTAAAACTAAAATAAAATTTCTGTTTCAAACTAGAACTAAACTAAAACTAAAAAGAAATTCCTTTTCCAAACTAGAACTAAACTAAAACTAAACATAAATTACCGCATTAAACTAAAACTAAATTGAAAACACCATACTAAAACAACACTAAATTAAACCCCCAATCACAGAGGGAAAACTTTAAAGATTCTTTTCATTCTAAACCTAGACGATCCCTAAAAACGTACTAATATTTTGTACAAGGAAAACAAACAACTTTCGAACTATGCAGTTACTGCAAAATATCACAAACAACACAAAATAACTGTAAACGTTTGTGTTGATTACTTTTCAGAAAACCCCTGCCCATGACGAGTTTTAAAACACACGCAAAGAAAGGTAGCAGCTATCGTCTTTCCTCTCAAGCAGTTCTAGTGAGGTGATACGAATTAGCCCGCTGTGGACTGGGACACAGGCTAATTCGACACAGACCATTGCTAAACGCCCGCAATGAAAAATAAGAGACGTCAACCGCCGTGTACTTCGCAAGTTTTAAATAAATGAATATGAATATAGTCGGTTAGATAGTTTTGGTTTTAAAATATTAATGTGCGCATAGAAGGTATTATTAGGGAAACTAGATCTTACCGATTATTCTTTTTTACCCAATGGCCTCGTTTCCATGTTAACTTATTTTAGCATGTCAGGGGCAGATAAAGATTATATTCCCATGTGTTCCTGGACGAATTTGTTTCTTGCTGTTCTTAGGCTCCATAACAATGTAGTTTTCAACCCTACTAAGCGCAAAACACGAGTACGTATACGACACGAAAACGAGGCCATTGGGTGAAAAGTGAATAAACAGTAAGGTTTATTAAGTCTACAAGTTAATGCTCACTCGGGCAGATAATTCTAATTCTTAAGCCCCGGTTAAACGAGCATGAGAGTTTCAAAATAAAGGTTTGATTTTAAAATGTTCCAATTCTCTTTTAACTTTTATTTATTTATTTGTTTATTTGTCCCATATGGACTGGGCCCATAACCCGTTGGGTTTTGGGGTGAAGCATTTGCCACCTTTACGACAGAGTACAACCTTACACGATCACTTTAGTGTTCAACAGTTTTATTCACTCAATAACTTTACATGACAAAATTACATCTATATATATGAGAGTTTACGTGATAATAACATTTAGGGTATATAAGAATACATTTCACATTTATGTTACCATATTTAGTTTATCATTGCATAATCCTCACAACATACATATGTATGGCATCTATGGAATTATGTTCCAGCGTTATCTATTAACAAAATATTATAGAGCATACTTCAACAATATAAACACCCCCCTTATTCAGCAAATTATGCATGCTGCCTTGGGATGAGGCAGCACTCTCTTTGTGATAGTAACTTCTAGTATCACTAATGTGCGGGATGTGAAATTAGGGGATATGGCGGGTGTGCAGAAAAGTGCGCGGGTTTTTCTCTCCAAGATGGCGGCCATTCGAGGAGTGCTGGTAGATTTAAGTGGGACACTTCATATTGATAATACTGTTATACCAGGCTCTATAGAAGCTTTGAAAAGGTATTTACTATATTTAACTTTGTTTCGCTTTCGTAGCAAGCTAAAAAAAGTAAGCTGTTAAAATAGAAGAAAATCAGAAAGGTAATAATTTAGAGTAGAAGACTAGAAGCCTACAAATGTACAATGAAATAACAATTCCTGTATGAATATTGTATATACTATAAATACCACATAATGTACATATTACAGGTTTTCTTAGTGGGACAATGTTTAATATTGCATGTCAATGTACCTTGAGATATTTCAACTTCTGCAATAGCCCAATATAATTTAAAATAAAATTGACAGTGTCACAGTTTAAAATGGGCAGTTTAGAACTGATAGAACTATCCAGTATAAATAGTTCATTTCAATAAAATGCCTGATTTCCTTCTTAAGATTAAGAGATACTGGTCTGGCACTACGATTTGTAACAAACACCACAAAAGAGTCCAAATCCACGTTACTTAATCGTCTCAAGTCACTGGGATTTTACATTAACGAACATGAGGTGTTCACATCATTAACGGCAGCTAGACGTCTGGTTGAGGCAAATAATTATCGACCGTTCTGTCTTCTGGAGGAAGATGCCTTGAATGATTTCAAAGGAATTTCAATGGATAATCCAAATGCTGTCGTTATTGGACTCTCTCCGAATAGCTTTTGTTATCAGACATTGAATAAGGCATTCAGGTGCGGTAACTTGCTTCACTGAGATCCGCATGCCTTTTGTTAACCCATTGAGCACCAACACTCTCCTTTTGATGAGTAAAATTGTCTGGTGTAAGACAGACTATTTAAATAATAAAGTAGAGTGTATTAGGGAACAATGTAACTTAGGTGTGGCATTGGTATAAACACACATATTACTCATTTACTTTCCAGATTGCTTCTTAATGGTTGTCCGTTGATTGCTATCCACAAAGCTCGGTATTTCATACGTGAAGATGGTCTGGCTTTAGGACCTGGACCGTTTGCAACAGCTTTGGAATATGCGGCCAACTCAACTGCTACCATTGTTGGGAAACCAGAGCACAGTTTCTTTGAGAAAGCTTTAGCAGATATGAGAATAGAGCCGGAGAATGCTCTCATGATTGGAGATGTATGTTTATATGTAGCATAATGTATCGCATTTGTAGTAGGTGCAACACTAAGATTTCATGCACCAAGAAAACCTTTACAAATTGACATACTATTTATTTAAATAACGGGTCCACAGCATTTTAAAAATCTATCTCATTCCCAGAGCCAAAATGTGTCCCGTTACTATAACTGGTGTCATACAAATTTGGCCAGTTGTGATATAAAAATTTTATCGACCATTGACTGGCAGTTATTTTGTGCCTTGCAACAACTGTATTCTAGTATTTTCTCTCTATTCTAGGATGCAAAAGATGACATTGGTGGTGCGCAGAATATTGGTATAAGGGGAATACTTGTCCGTACAGGTATGTTTTTGTTATGTATTGCGGTTTGTTCTGCATGTATTCTATCATAGATAGACTATGTATTCTATAGGGCGATGGTTTCTTTTGTTGTAGGAAAATATCGAACAGGAGATGAAGATCGAATCAATCCTCATCCTTTACACACGGGCAAAAACTTTTCCGAAGCAGTTGACTACATACAGAGATTATGTGCTATTGACCAAGTGCTGACCTGATATATAACACTGGATAGTGCATCGTTATGCATAAACGAAGCCAATGGCGGCCATACTGACATAGTACAAGAGATTTTAACTGACTTTAAAATCTCATTTCTTTATAAATATTCTGGCCATAGGAGTCACGATTTAGGAACAGAACAAGTTTACTATTTTTAGACTTTTTGGGTTGGAATCAGGGTTTGGGTTAGGGAAACGATTAGGATTAGGGTTAGGACTAGGGTTAAGTTTAAAGATGATGTCCACTCCTGTGCACATGCGCGAACTTTGTTTACGTTTTGAACCGCTATATTTGTAAAATATGATATACTAACTGAATATCTAACACTTTTCTGGTTCGCTACACTTCTAATGAATATAAACTCTACGTTTCAATTCAAAAAAGTTTGAAAGGTGCAAAATTTGGGCAATGTTTATATCTGGGGGTCCCCCTTTGTTATCAGCAGAACTGATGCGCAGAATGGAGTGGACATCATCTTTAAAATACAAAAGAATCAGGGTCTTAGCCAGAGGGCCGTGTTGGCCGTGTTATCGGGGCCAAAAAGGGAAAAACACGGCTAGATAAAATTAATGCGGTTTCATTATTTATATAAGGCTGTGTAGGTTCATAAAATAACAGACAGAATTTCTTCCTATTCACTGTACATTGTAAGAAAGTTTGTAAAATCTACGGTTATTGTTGAAATTGGCGAAAGTGATCTGCATGTGATGTTTTAATGTTTTGGTGGATAATGGGAACTGTATGGTGTTACAATGGTTTTAAATACCCCCAAGAGTTGCTGAAAAAACTTAATATTTTAATGTCAGTGCGTAATATGAGCGTATGCTTGCCTTGTATTTGGTTGCAAAGCATAGAACAACCACAGGTATGGTCTGTTGTTGGCGACCATAACTAGAACCGCGAATTTGGCTATTTGAGGTAATTGACATGTGCACACCCTGGTCATTTAGAAACACGCCCAAGTTCTAAAATCCTAGCTAAGACCCTGAAAAGAATACAATATTACAAAAGTCTAAAAAAAGTAACTCTTCCTCAAACGTGACAGGTGATTTGGCTGTTTGAATTAAAAAAGATGCAGTCCTGCTTTTTGGATCTGTGGTGAATGACTTATAGTGATATATTTATACAGATTTTGTATAAATTTTGCATTTTGTTCGATTGAATAATTATAGTTGAAGGGTCTTGTAGATGGAAATTATTGAGTGGAAATTATATAATACCTTTTAGAATTCTCATCGTTTAATTGGCTGTTTATGGTCACGTGATATTGAATAGAAAATTCCATTTCCCAAGAGTGCAATGGAATACGTTCCCGATTGCACTCTTTGCGAGTGCAATTGTACTATACGTTTTATTCCATTGCACTCTTTGTGTTTTCGATAAATCGCATCCGTCAAAATGCTTCTCGTACGGTGATCGCAGTTTATTTTAATCCGGATATTCGAAACTCAGTAAATGGGATTTAATGCAAATACGACTCGTCAAAATGGCGGGAGCTTACAGTAAACCTTTTAATATTAGTCTATTTTGGTATTATATAAAACAAATAATGAATGTTTTTATTCGTGCAATGGTAAGAATATTTTCATTCGGTGAAAGATGGAATGTCGCCTCATTGAATGGAACATTCCATCTTTCACCTTATGAAAATATTCTTACCATTGCACTCATAAACATTCATTGGCCGTTTTTATACTGGAGACGCATTATGCGTCTGGACGAACTTGGGCAAGCATTTGTTGTTCGTCTGGTTATGCGTCCTTAGTATAAAGACGGGCACAAGACGCATTATGCGTCTAGACGAACTATGTTCGATTCTTCGTCTTAAGAGACGCACAACCGATGATAGTTCGTCTAGACGCATAATGCGTCTTGTGCCCGTCTTTATACTGAGGACGCATAACCAGACGAACAATAAATGTTGATCAGTAGTTCGTCGCATTGGCCGTTTTTATACTAGAGACGCATTATGCGTCTGGACGCATAATCCGTCTTCTACATTATTCGTCTAGTATTATTCGTCCCGTCTTTATACTAGACGATTAATGTAGAAGACGGATTATGCGTCCAGACGCATAATGCGTCTCTAGTATAAAAACGGCCATTATTTGTATATTATCGCAGGCTCGATACCTGCCAGGAACCTAGAGTTTCATTTTTCACAGCTGTTTCTGGTTAGGTTTAATAAATGTATATAAAATTCCACTCGATAAATTTCCATCTACGAGAGGACCCCTTCATATATCCATACATGACGTAATTGCGCGGCATTGCACCCCCAAGTGCCGTGGAACTATGGTACACGAAACCAGGAAGAAGCTACTAAGCCAAACGGAAGATTTCGTTTTGTCGTAGTGTTGTCTCTTGTCACTCGATTTAATCACTTTAATGAGTCTGGGATGATAAATTGCTTGTATCTCGCTAGCTTATCTGAACCGACAATACCTAGACGCTAGATAATTTTGTCAACACTTAATACTTTTGCACAGCTAGGAATTTTGCAACAACATTGATAAATGATAAGATACAACAACAACATACAATACAGTACAATACAATACAATACAATACAATACAATACAATACAATACAATACAATACAATACAATATATTTATTTAACGTGAAACAATTACATTAGCTACACTCAGCTAATTTACAGGTAATGCCACGAATTTCTAACTATTATATATCTAAATATCTACATAAATCAACTAAATAACTATTTACACAATTATGCATTGGAAATATCCAGAATATGTTCAATGTCAATGTCATTTATACTGTTTTTAAACGCCCTATAGTTCTATGCCGATTTAGGTTGTGGATTTCATTTTCTGAGATACGCAAAGAAACTAAATTCCCGCCTTGTATTGGGTAGCTAAAATATTGCCAGATCTGTTGTACACTTCGACCCTTTGGTTTTCCTGGCCTTGGCCCGGCCAGATGTTCGCTTCGCTGATTGGCTGACAAATTTAATCAACCACACAGCGTAAGCAAACCTTTGTCAGGGAAAGATGAGAATATCATCACACTCTTTTTATGACAGAAACCCAAGACTTTATATTCACAAACATTCTCAACATAAAATTAATTCTGCATGTCAAGTTTGACTCGACGTTATGCTGACGATACAAGGCTATAATCAATAAGTTATAATCATCTGCCAAGTCTACTCTACAAATAACCACTCTAAAATCGGTAAAAACAAATAGGTGCAAAGACTGGCACTAGCTACAAATTGCCTTTTTTAACAGGTTGCAGCTCAGGAAATATTTGGAAAATCAAATAACTGCTTTAATGTTCTATAGACAGTTTTTGTGTACGTTTCAACCATAGAACTTCTTCAGTCTCTGTGAGCTACCTTGGAATTTTAAAATTTCTATCAGTAATAGAAATTTATAATAAAATGTCAGTTATTCCAAATCTTTGGCTATTAGCGTTAATTTCACAGATGCCTCTATATCTGATATTCATACTTGTGTCAAAGTCTACACATCTTATCAATATGGTGCTTTTTTCACAAAATGCACAATACAATAACAGTTTTTTTTGCAAATTAATGTTATCATTTAAGACATAATTTCGTTTGCCCTCTGTTTCAGATTTTTTTTAGACTTCTCGAACAAGTGGTGTTGACAAGTAATTTTAGATCTTAATTAAAAACCTAAGACCTTTTCTGATTTTAATTTCGATAAGACGTGCTCGCGAATTTTTCTAATAAACTCGCGTCGCGCCTAGCACATCGTCTTGGCAAACGCGTGTATAAAGTAAGGCTTAATTAACTCGAAATAGGCAGATGCATTTTGAAGATTGGATGGCAATGAGTGTGACCGATGCTCAGAAAATGTGTTCTCGTATTTTTGTAGGCTGACTAAAGCGTTATTCGCTGATGTGAGACGGTTTTAAATCCATACTAATTTTGAGGGGTAAGTGTAACAAATTAATTTGTAACCGTTTTTTAGCATAAACGTAATACATTTCTATCAATATTTATCACAACCTTTAAACATGTTGCATTTGTGGTTAATTATTATTATAAAACATTTGATTTGTTTTTGTGTGTGGTGCGTGGCATTTTTCGGGCTCGTGCCCTGACATTGGGGTTAAGCACCTCGACAAAAGATAACAAAAAATATTGTCGACTTCAATTTTATGTTTACACAATTTTCGTTTGTCGGGCCATTGTGATTATTATCGTTGTCTTTAAAATAACACGCCTACCTATTACTTAAAATCTTTAGTGTACTACTCGCCATTCCTCACGGCATATTCTTGTATGCATGTCATAAGCTGTTTTTCATTCTGGACCTCTAATTTGTGCGAAAGTATTTTGGCTAAATCTTCATTAAGTGCAGAACCTATTACATATATGTGGTATTCATATCAAAGCAAGATAAACTCTAGAATTAAGTTAAGCCCAGTTCACACTCTATGGAAGTTTCTTCGACCAAGATATCCAGGATAATTCGAGTCTTTTAGTCGTACCTGACTGGCACTCTAATGATTATTGCCTCGTACTTGAGCTGTGGTACAAACGTAAGACTCAATGTGTACTCTTGCTTTTTAAAATGAAGTGCATAAAGTACAGGGTTCTGAATTGTATTCATTCACTGACCTGAAACTACGAGTTAGAACGAGAAGGACAACAATGGACGACTTACGCTTTAGAAAAAATTTTAATCTGGGAATAACAAAGGATATTTTCTGAAAGAAGTTATCAAAATTAGAAAAACTGCAAAGTTTGGTTGCGAAATGTTGTAAAATACGGAAAATATAGCCCTGCGAAGTTGGCAAATTTGTATACATTTCTATTACGTGCTGAAATTGGTAACTAATTTAGTTACCAATTCACGCACGTAATACAAAAGTATACAAATTTGCCAACTTTGAAGGGCTATATTTTCCTATTTTACAACATTTCGCAACCAAACTTTGTAATATTACTAATTCCAAGACGCTTTTTCCAGCTGTGGTGATAGATTTCGTTGTTCCGTACTTAGATTAAAATTTAGTCTAAAGCACAAGTCGTCCATTACATACACAAACACTATAGCATTGACTTCAATATTCCCATCAGTTCAGTCATGCGTGTTTCATGCCAAGACATGTCAGACGTACCTAGTATATACAGTTACGTATAATAGGTACGTTTATGAATACCTTGGACTTAGTAAGGTCCTATGGTACCAGCAAAATGCAAGTATACGCAGCTAGCAAGAGTACCTGGTACTTGGTTGAAAACAAAGAGTACCCGACCGTAATATTGGCGTACCTCCGGTACGTTAGTACGCGATTTAATCCCACCCCCTGAATATCATGATTTCATCGAAATGTTATGTACGTTAAAAGTTTGCTCGAGTACGTGTTTTTGACGCGATCGTGTTTGAAGTAACTTTGATATTGTAAACTGGCCGTTACTATATCGCTGTCTCCTTTACTTTTGCGAGAAGGAAGATGATAGACTACCTAAATGGGTTATTCCAGACCGCAGGGAACACCCTCCATATACCCCCCTCCCCCATGTCACGGACAAGTGAGAAGTTGACTCTCATTCTGCCTAGCCAGGAGACATGAAACGTATGGTACGCGTTACTGAAATCTTACCAAAACAGCCGTCCACTTTGATCGATTTCCACAAAAAACATCACGCGTTTATCACACACATGTGTCAAATTTGGCTGTAAACCTCCTTGCACCATTGTAATATGTGTGGCCGCCGATTGATGAGGGTTTTTAAACAAAATCGAGAAAAAACCGATCACAATTATGCCGACATATTTTTCATACTTGCTAATGTGTTAATTCCATTGGTTAATTCCAAAAGCAGTGTAACTGCTTTCTCAGCTGCGGTTTAAAAAATTGACCTATGGCAACTCCTACAATGTCATTCAGGAAAGTAAATTAAATTTTTTTAATGTCTGCAATTTTGCGAAAAAAGACTCAGATTATAGGTTATAAATTATTAATGAAAGGTGCCTGGCAATGCCCGGTGCTTATCTCGCGTTTCTTTAATCTTGGGAAAAGAGTTGATGAATCCCGTAGGACGCAATTAAGTCGTCTCTAGTACGGCTTACAAACTGGTACTCATTCATCAGCTGGATCAATTTTTATGTGGGCTTGTTAGCTTCAGAGCCTAATTTTCACTCAGTCACTCGTTGAAAATTAGGTTCTGGGTTAGACGACTAATGGGAGAGATTTGATTGGCTTCTCATAGAACTGCTATTCGCAGAAGTTGAGCGATTTTTGCCATGCAAAATTATTCTATCAACATATGTCAACACAAATACTTCGTTACTTCACTGTGAAAATTGTTACGGGTGCTAAAGCGTCCCAATTCAAGAGCATGCGCTTTAGAAACTATGCAAGTTTTCTTGCACTTCCGGTTCCATGTGTCCCAGGGAGGACGCGCGCGGCCGAGAGGCCCTGGGGACGAGCATGTGGCGGGAACTGGTACCTTTTCTTCAGGGACTGGGGCGAGTGTCATCGCACTAGCCTGCGTGGCAGACGCCCAGCCCGCCGCGGAACACCCAAAATGCAGGCGAGGCGTTCTTGCCTTGACTACCGATTCCCAAATTTTTACCACGTTAATCGGCATGACTAATTCAAGGTTCTTTATTCGCTTTTTGCAATGTGATAATAGTATTTGCACTGACGAAAATTTGGGCCCAAGGATCAAAGTTTTGTTAAATAAATAAACGTATCGCTTGCCGCAAAACAAAACAAAACAATTAAAATTTTGTTTTTTTCTTTTGAGAACAAGAGTGGCCACACGTAAATCCGACCGCGTTGTCACATCCAACGCAGTTTGCAATGCCACGAATTGGATTCCCGCCACGCTGTAATATTCTGCATTGCCTACAAACACTCACGAAAACAAGCCGGGTACTTTCACGTTTTTTAAATGTTTGTAAAATTAAAGTTTACTTTTCCATTTTATCACAACAAAATACAACAATTTATTCACCATTTATTCAGCTTGTTATTCGTTTTTGAAGCTGTTAGAAAACATATTACACGAAAGAAAACGTGTTGTTTTTTGCAATTACAAATTAATCAATGATAATTCGCTTTGGCAGATGTTTCATTCGAAACGAACAGTTTAATTGCTTTTCGAGTCTTTATTTACGTAATTGTGATAATGAAGATTGTCTTCAGTAGATACCGTGTAATGATTTTGTCTTTCCCGTGTTGTCAATTGCGTAGCTATTGGTCGTTGTTTTTCAACAAGGCTGTTTTACAGTTAATTCATGAATATTTGTTTAATATATTTTGGCTGTAGATTGCTTTCCAAAGGTGTAAATGAATTACGTGTGTAATTTCTGAGGAGTGTTCAGCTGTTTCGGGACAAAAGAAGGTAAGAAATCTTTCTTCATCCTCTTACATTTGTTGTTTAAGATATGCTTGTAGTTGGCTTTATAATATGCTTCCATAGAATAGCGCGGGACAGATCTATGGGCTATATATCTCGACTGTATAAGAAGCTTATAGTCTATCCTTGGTCGGCCTCTAGCAAAAGCTGGCAGTAGTTCGGCATCTGATTCAACTGCATAGCACGATATAGCGATTAATCTCCTTGGCCTTAGGGCAATCGATAACCCAGTCAACAATGTCTTACTCTAATTTACTTAATGCGCTTATTGAAACTGTCTTACAATATCGACGTTCTTTGATCAAAGATACAGAATTCATTCGACAATCTTCTTGTACGTCGATGTTTGATCCAAGTATGACAAGCAAATGGTTATCTGTACATGTTAATCATGGGCAAAATCTGAATACTTGTTGTAGAGTTTTCATGTGTGAAATGTTCATGTTTTGATTATTTCGACCGTCTCACTCGATAGAACTATACTGTTGAAGGGGTTTGTAGATTGAGTGTGAGTTTCGAGTGTGAATTTGATAAATTTATTTAGACCTAGCGAGGAACAGTTGCGAAAAATCCCTTCGATTCTGACTATATCCCAATGTATGAACCGCCGGTAAACAGAAAAATTGTCTGTGTTATTACTGTGGAAAGTCAAACTTTAATTTTGGACATTTTCAATTAACCGAATGTTGAAGTGTCGAAGCGAAAATTATGTGCATATTTTATACCAGCTGTGAAAAATGGAATCGAATCTCTGGCCCTGGCGATTCCGGTGCAGTGCTCTGACCACTGAGCTAGATAATAGAGTCCCGTTGCTAAACTTCTTGTGCATATAATAAACCGCATGTTTTTCTTAAAAATGGATTAATTTTGAAACTTACACATGAACTTCGTATCTTTGAAAAAATTGATTTTACACACATTACGTTATTGCCTGTCAAGACATCTGGAAGTCAAGGATATGTAATAATTAATATAATCATTGGCAAATCTTCGGTGATATTAAAAATTTTAAATCCATGCTGCATTGCACGCTTACGTAGTTTTAAGATAGACGGCAGTTTTAATGTTTGATGCCAGTAATATATGCGTAGTGCACTATTTTTTTTGGAAAGACTGATGAATATCTTCTTCAATTTAATATCATTCTAGATTATCTTCAAAACGCGAATACGGACACGTGGATATAAAATTCATTTCATTTTTTTATGTTTTTCATCAATTAATAACGAGAATTAAGTTTTAATCCAATGTAAGGTTTATACATTTTAAATAATATCCATTCTTCAACATTTCTTATAAATTATTTCAACTAAACAACGCAATGTCGTTTTCTATTTTCGGAATTCCCACGTCCGCGTTAATCTATTTCCGCTTTCCTATATCCGTAATTTTCACATCCGCATATCCGAATCCGCGTTTTCCTGATGACATATGTTATTATTACAACCGCTGCATAAGGTGGGTGAACGCAGTTGGTTGCCAATTATCAAATTTCAATGAGCTTGTAAAACATTTTATCCATTTTGTTTGCTTCAAACGGCTCCTACTGCGTGCTGTCAAGAAACATTATTATGAAATTGTTTTGTAGTAGTCTTTTGGATACAATAGGAAAACCCAGTAACCTTTGAACCGCGCATAATGTGATCTATTTCCTTCGGCATTGATCAGCTGGTTGATTGCATTGTACTCGCATACACACAACTGTCACAAACAGTATCGAGGGGCAAATCACCCCTAAAAAGTGTACGAGATATTGGAGATAAAAAAATCATGTAATTTTTTTGTGTTTTTTTTTCTCGCGCTCTTTGCTTTTTTAGCACTTTTTGCCAAGGTAATTTTCCCTTTTACTACTTTTGACAGAACGAACGAAAGGGTAAACTAGAACGAACCTCGGAACTTGATTTTTTATTTTTGTGATTTTTCGATTTTTTGTTGATTTTTTAATTTTTATTTTTTTGTGATTTTTCTGAGGGTGTACGTGATTTAAATCAGTGATTTGCCCCTCGAGAAGTATGGAATGGCGTCCGGCAACTGATGCATGTATATGTTACGATTGCTACAGAAACGCTGGTCCCCAGAAAGCTGCTATTGCCCGCATTAGGAAATGTTATGCTGTAATACAGCCTGTATACATAACTAGTGTACTCATGCAACACTAACATGCAGTTAGTATTGACTACAGTGTTCGACATTAAACCTTCCCCAAAGGCCTCACATATGGTAAACCTTTGAATGAATGATATTAATATTTATTGAGGAAACTAACATCACAAGAAGTGTTTTTCAGATGGTTCCTGCAAAACATTAAAATACAAAGTAGCCTATAGAAAATATATATGTATGTGCGTGCAGTATTTACATATTGTATTGGTACATGGATATATATGATATACCAGAAAAATTATGAGACTGTAGGATACATGATGCTATACATATTTACAAGGATACAAAGACTTAGTAAGTTATATCTTAAATATACTGTATGCATGAGTATTATAAAGATAGAGATTTGAGAAGTTCATTTCTAAAGGTTCCTAACTGTTCAATGGATCTAGTATTATAGTCCAAATCGTTGTACTCTTTACAAGCCTGGTAAAGCTGTTTTTGCTTTCCCCAGTTTGCCTTTCTCATGGGTGATACTCGCAGCTTTTTTCAACGCTGGGAAGGGGAGAAAGAAACTGTTGATCTTGACAGTCTGGGGTGGAAACCCATAATACCCATTTGCGTGATATCAAGTATTTTGTTGTTTTCCCCCAACTTGTGCGTGGGCGTGGTAGGTAGTAGTTGTTATTCTGTCGTGTTTTATAGCTATGTGTCTGGGAGTTCTTTATATAAGATTAAAATCAAAGGCAACTAGATGGTTAAGCCATTTAAAGACAACGATATACAACGGTGATATCTTCGACGAAGGCAATTAGGTGTGGATCGATCTTGTCTTTTATATGTCTGATTGCTTTTGAACTGATCTAATTTGGTACATCCGCGTTAAACTTTTAAATTAGAAAATAGAACCAGGGCTGTGGTTAATTTCATATCAAGTACCTATAAAGAGAACCACTTCAGTCTGTCGCGATACAACAGTCAGTTATCGGGAAATATTTACTACATCGCACGCAGTAGTCCTGGCCCAAATTACACAAATCATTTTGACAAACTGTTTCGCTGCGCATAGCATGTTGATTAAAAGAAGAACGAAGACATCAATGTTCTGAGGGAGCACGGGTAATCCATACGGTTAGCTGTACTACTACCGCTTCAATGTAATGTAATGTAATGATTCATTTAACGTCGTGCCGGAGAACAAGATGTGATGATTGTTCATTCATCCGAGCCAGAGGCTCGTGGTAAAAGTGCACGACATAAACGTAGTAATCTATGTAGTATACATTGGTAGAAATTTTGTATTACATTAACGAAAACTAAAACGTAAGCTAACAAGAAAACACTATTAGGCTATGTTTACGCTGTACCGCGGACAGCTTCCCTAGCGGCGTGAAAAAACGGGCACCAATCCGTACCCTTTAGGAACGCTATTTTCAGAGGATTGTTGCAACGGAGAGATCGGTATTGTTTCTCTCAGCTTCTGAGTTGTATATTCCGTATCGTATTAGACGTGTTGTTGTTGTTGTTCTTGTTCTTCTTGTTGTTCTTGTTCTTCTTGTTCCGCTTCTTGTTCTTCTTGTTTCTTCTTGTTTCTTGACTTCTTGTTGTTGTTGTTGTTGTTCTTCTGTCCACACAAATTCTTGAATGAATTAGGCCCCGTTTACTGATGAGACCAGGACGAAGTCAAACCGGGATGATAAATGAACTGATTGTGAACATGTTTACACGAGACTGGTACGAAAATCACAAAATTTTCAATTTATTCCCCTTGCCAGGCAATTTTGTTTTTTAGATGGCTTTTGTTTGCATGTGTTGTTCCAATGACAAGGTTACAGCCGAGACCGGTCTGAAATGTATTTGTGTTTACATTCATCCCAGTCTGAATTCATGCCGGTCTGAAGTCAGTCCGGGCTCGGTCCAGCAAGCGGAATGACTTGAGATCGGTCTGAGTTATTTGTTATAAATAATACTATGACCGAAACGAAATGGTCCCGGTTTGACTTCGTTCCGGTCTCGTGTGATTGGGGCCTTAACCGAATTAACTATACCGTTAACATGCAAGCTGGAAAAAATGCCAAGGCCGCTAGGCAAGGAATTAACTCGGTTGTAAAACGTGATCCGAGAGCACCTCTAGATGTGGTTTAGTTTAGACCATCTTGTCTTCGGTTGTGGCCACACTTGTTCACTCACTTGTTGGTTTTTGCATGACATGCATACAATATAAATTCCATGTTAAGTAGTACATATAGTACTGTACTCAAAAGCGCAAAGAAAAAGAAGTATTTTGACTCGCAGGAACTTTTTACCTTTGAAAAGTTGGTCAAACTGTTCGCCAAAACTTGATAACATTGTATTCAATTCAATGGACAAAGACTCTTTAGAATACTGGAAAGATATATACTGAGAATATCTTACACCCAAACAGATTAGTTCCCTAGTTGGTCGCAGTATGAAACATTCTCTAAAGATTACATCTGATTAAACGTGATAAAATTTGATAAAATCTACGGGAAGCGAGATTCTCAGATAGATCCACATTACCTGTGCAGAGTTTTGACAGCTAACGGTAGACTTAAGTCCCCTCAAAATGGCCACCAATTTGATTTCGACTTCTTTAATAGCTCTTTCATTCTAAATTAACGATCACTGTCCGAATTTGTTGAGGCTTTTATAAATCATTTAATAAGCTGTCACCAGGAAGTGCGGCTGTGAGACAAGTTACAACAATAGCAGGTCGCGCCGACTTGTTTGGGAAAATCAAGTCGATATCTGCTAAGGAATTCTCTTATATGGCTCTATCTCCTGCGTTCCTGAAAACGGTTTGAAGTTTTGGGTTAAATTTGCTACTCGAAGAATAAAATGTCATCATTTTTATTGGCGTGGAATTCGAAGTATAATTGTAACGGGTAATCACAGCGCTCTATGTTAACAGAAGAATACACGATGAGCTTTTCAATAAAGGGAATGCAATTAGTGCACAGCACTCCTCCCCCATATTGTGTGACAAATTGTCTTCATTCACTTGTAGATCATGTTTATATGGTCTCTGCACGTAACGAGGAAATGCCTAATTGAATCTAGGAATATATGGCTTGTGTAACTTAGATGTGCTTGCGTTTACGTTTGTAGAGATTGGTTGAAGCAAAGACTCTGGACAGATGTGAAATTTTGTGACGGTTTGTCGAGGTAAGGACCAAGGCAGTTGCTTATATATGTTTGCAGATATCAATCACTGTAGTGCTTGTTTGTGTTGGGAAAATTCACTACGTTTATGTACTTGTGTGAGTTTCGATGTGTTGACACGTTAGGAGAATATAATATGGGCATAATTTCGTATTTTATTAAACGTATTCGTACTCAGTTTCGTGCAGTATTTCGTATAATTATATAAAAAGATTTGAACACGAAGGGCTCATTACATAAAAATTCACGACAAGTGATGATTGAGGTGTCTATGATAGGGGATAAACATATCTTTTACTGGTCAGTTACCTGTACTCGTGATGCACGTTCTTGATAGCTACATGCAACATTGAAACCGTTACTTATTTTACAAGCTGTTTTCGTAAACTAGTTGTATATCCTTCATACACATATAAATGGTTCATTTCTTTAATCGGATAGGAGAATATTGAAATTCTGGTAACTGAAATACACTTTCTATGAAACGAGATAACATCGATGTGTGTTCTTGTTTTCGTGAAATTTCAAACATGTTTTCCAGCTTTATTATTGTTGCTGTTATTATTAGTTTACAAGCTGTTTTATATAAACTACATCTTCCCTTATCTTTCTGTTGTTCAATCTGTCAAGAAGCATCGTCAGTGACCGCAACGTTACTGTATACTATAGTAGAATAGCTAGCGTTCATTACTGTATATATCAAAGGCGTTTTAATCGCTTTAGAGATAATGCGTTTTTAAGAGGCAGAGATGAAGAAACTATCCAGTTGTATAATCGATACATATATACAATCTGTTAAAGCGATTACATTCGACTAATGGATAGCAATGGTTTTTCGTATGATTGTTAGTCGTGTAGATTTGCAATAGTTACAAGATTGTTTGACGTTGAAAACTTGTACAATTGATAGCAATTGTTGTGAACATAAAAGCAAAATTAAACTCATCAATCTTGCTTCATAGCTGGATAGCTCTGTCAGTTCTCAGCTGTTCTCCCTAGAGGTCCAATAGGGTCATGTCCTTATAGACCTTATTCATCAACAACTGCCGAGGTTATTGCAAAATGAAACTGGGGTTCCCACAGAAAACCTGCGGAGTTCTTCCACTTCAACTCTACCAAACACCGGAAGGCTTTTTCTGGGTACTCCAATTTCCTCCTGTAATAGCACTGGATCAACGAAGGATCGCTCTTTGGACCTCTAGGAAGAACTGATGGAGTTATCCAAGATAAATAAAGTAATATTGTACAGCTTCTTTCACTCAATTTGAGCTTATCAAGTACAAATTAACGATATAGGTGATGAGCGAGTTGCCCTGTGTCTATGATACACGTATATAAACATATCTCTTGCTATGTGGTTAGTTAAATATCATTGAAACTCCGCACTGATAAACCATATATGGCAGATCGCTACGTGTATTTATTACAAGAATTCGACAAATGTTTGAAATAGCTGAAGTGCACAAACAGGACGCATTGAGGGACAATTGATTGGAAAAACCAATAATTTCAACTAAATTCACTAATCAAAACATTTAGAATTGAATTCCAATAACAATGCGAGTTAGACGACACCAATTAGCAAGCTCGTGTGAAACCCTGTTTAAATAAAAGAAGTTTTCGCTTGGTCTAAATCTTAGTCTAGACAGGATTTGTTGAGAATAAGCAACAGAATATTTGTTGGGTGTGTTAGTGCATGTGCTAAGCTTCACCTCGGGGTCTTGGCGGATGTATCGGGATTTGAGATTAACTCTATCAAACACTATGTGTTTTCTCAATGAATATGAGATGGCCATTACTGGAGCTCTATCGAGAACAGTTTAGAACTGATAGAGGTATCAGTGAAGATACAATACGCTATTTTAAGGCTTAAAAACAGCATGGATATGATCACGTGCGCGTCGTTTCTAATACGTTGGGTGCAGCCAGGCTTTATTGACGTGCAGATGCGCTTGCGGTTGAACGAATGATCGCTTTGATGTCACAATTAAGTGCTTTGCTTTGTCGATGTTTCTGAAGTGAAATGTTTTTCAGTTTGCATTGATTATTGGTCCAATCTTATACATTGAAAGAAACCTAAACTAATTAGTTTTATTTATGCTGCGGAACTGCGTGGAGACAGTGGCGCACATTAGGAGGGGGCAGCGGTTAGAAAATTGCAAAACGTCGGTCCCAGTTTTCGAGGCTGTATCAAAAGTGAGTCTGTGTGAGTGAGGCTTTATCAAAACCAATCGACACGCCACAAACATCTGTTGTACGTAAAGAACAAGAAAGTCGGCCGCAGATATGGCGATCGTAATAACCCTCACCCCCAGCAATTTGTTGAATTGATTGCAGGCGCGCGTGGGGAATAATCACAACCACTGATCTATATATGCCACTGATATGCCGGTGCCAATGATAAGTGCCTGCAGGGGGAAAGGAAGTTGTGCTCATGATATCTTCAACGTTGTTGACTACATACTCGAATGTAGTCACGTCTCAAATTTTCACCCGATCTTATCTTTAACCATGCTGTGCGTAGACCCTGCAGCTAGATTTTCTCAACATTGTCCAAAGAAACTTCGTTTATCGCGAAGATATTGTGGCTAACCACAACATCAGGGAATGATTCTAAGACGACTTTCCTTCTACCAAAACTATTGGAAAAACCTGGAACTTTCTAATTTATCTCAAATGATTTCTTCTTCCTTGAAAACAGGAAACAGGCATAGAAGACATGTATAAACTGGACTCTTATAATTCTGGACTCTAAGATTGCAATCTCGTGTTGCATTACAAATTTCACTTCGTAAAATTTCTAAGAGCAAACTTTTGATAGCTTTATCACTTCGAAACTGTTCTTCCTATACTGTGAGTCCAGTAAGATTAATATGACAGGAGTCGAACCCTGTTCACAAAGGTGAAAGACAGAAAGATGTGCATTCACTTCCTCATACCGTTGCATCCGTTACTGCTGAGTTAAATGCATTGATCCGTAGAGCTAAACTGGCCACGGGGTTTGAACATGGAACTCTATACCAGAATACATCCAAATTATTGAGCTTTAAATCCTCCCTCAAGACCTACTTATTTAAGGAGGCATATGCCTGCTAACATTGCATATAAGAGCATTTATCTTACTCCATTTAATCTATTTTATCCATATTTGACCATATAAGTTTATTTTAATAAAACACAAAACAATAGACACTCCAAAAATTGTAAACATTTTAATTCCTTACGTTTCGACTATAATTTAAGTCATTCTTCTGAAGATGACTTAAATTATAGTCGAAACGTAAAGAATTAAAATGTTTACAATTTTCGGAGTGTCTATCGTTTTGTGTTTTATTAAAATACTCTATGGCAACCGCAAGTTTATTTTATCTATGCAAGTTTGACTATTGTATAATGAAAGTATAATTGTCTTCTAAACGTTTTGAAATAATTCTTTCATGATATTTCTAAGCGCATTGAGATTCTTAAATGGGCTAAATGCGCATAAGAACGTTAAATTATTATCATTCGGATACCTTACAGGATTTGTGTGCTTATCCTCATGAGAGTAGGATTAAGTCTCTCCCTGATATTAAAAGGAGCGCCTTTTTTGCCAAGGGCAAACTTAAATTGATTTGGTATCCCTTCCAAGGGTGAATATTAACTCCACATTATCGGAATTGCTACCAGATTGGCTTCAGCTGTGTACAGTGTACTTCGTATATTCTACTGCAATATGACCATGCATGGTTTGTGTCTGAAAAAGATACCTCAAACGTGGTGGTTCAGTGTAAGGTAGCCTATAGTACTATTCTACGATAAACTGTCGCGGTTTGTATCTGAACTATCTGAGAAAAGATATCTCAAACGTGGTAGCTTCCGGCATGGTTTGTGTCTAAACTATCTGAAAAAGATATCTCAAACATGGTGGTCTAGCGCATGGAGTATTGTACAATAAGCTGCCGTGGTTTGTGTCTGAACTACCTGATAACATTCTGTCCTGACGAAGCTGGATTTCGCCCAAAAGGTTGAAGTGTTTTAACCATTTTCAGGGGTAGTTCAGACCCAAGAAGGTTAGACTTCCGTCGTTAACTTCAGCTTTTATTCTCTCCTTATCTCAATTACCCTAACCGCGCGACTTAGCGCCAGGCTGATGACAAGAATGACAGTTCGATCATGAAAACTAAAAATGGCTTTGTGACGTACAGCCGTGATGTATCTAGCACTTGATAAAAGATATGTATGCTAAATTTACCTTGTTTTCCATTCACAGAAAGACCCTGTGATCGTTCTGGGAGGCAACACTATAGAAATCGCAAGCTTGTGAAAAGGAACGCCGTGTAAGGTTAGTATATTTCAGTCATCTTAATTTTTTTTTGTTATCTATATATAAGGACCCTCAAAATTCGCATAACTAAAGAATTTTATCGTAAGATATATGTCCTTTTGTAGTTGACATGATTTTGTGTGTGAGCCTATATAACTTGTTACTTTTCACTTTCTTCGAACTGCTTACAAAGCAAGCCAACAAGCTTTGAAAGTTCTGAACAAAACATATTTTCTTGAGTCTATTTGACAATGTTTACAGGCGGTACGTTTACGTTTAAGTTGGAGTCTGGTAGTCTGTATTGAAGAGTACCCCCAACGGGTATAAATCCGCGATAATCTGTGACTGATAGGCCTAACTTGTTTTCATTCTGTTTGCAATACACTGGCCTTTCCTACACTCTTCCTATTTTTTCTTGCCTTTTTTGTGCTCATTTTAAGAGAAGCATTTGTGGAATAGAAATATCAAAGCAGATTCTTGCCCAATTTTGGTTCGATTTGAGATTTTGCGCTTTGCAAACACAGAAACACTATTCAGTTAAACGGTTTACGTAACGGACAATTTAGTTATGTTTTTTTTAGCATTTACCGCTTAATTCGAGGGTTAGATCAAAAGTAAACAGGGTTTATATACCTAAACGGTTTACGATTATGGATTACTGAGAGCTTTTCGAGTGTATTCACTGAGTGTATGCATGAGAGATTGATTTGTTAACTCGTCTGTTTATAATAAATTGCGTGCCGCGTGATTATCACTATCAGATATTTTAATTTGCGTTGAATTTCTTCAAAATACGTTTAATTTATATGTTACATAACGCGCGCGCTGAAACTAATGAACATATTCTTTTCCACTTCGTTTTGACCATATTCAATTTTTTAATTTTTCATACGTTTCTCAAGCGGCAAGCAAATTTAATAAGTATATGTTTAGTGCTTTATCTGTAAAATTATGCTAAAGTGAAGAGATTTTAGATGGTACGCCAATGATGTCTGAAGTTCAGCAGAAAAACTTCAGAGAAAATGATGTCTGAAGTTCAGCAAGTTTTGATTATGTTATACTATATATAAATATGGCGTCAATTTTACAGCATTAATGATAATTGTATTTAAATTGACAATATCAGTTAACTTTTATTTTGTGTTTCTCAACCCGCCAGATAGATTTAAAAAGGTTGCTAATTGTGTAAACTACAAAGTAAAGCTAAAACAAGATGATTTTAAGAGGATTTTAGGTTTTGAACACTTTTTACACGACATTGAAAATATTGCGTCTTAATAATTCATGCATGGGGGCCTTCATGAGCAAAAAAAAACACAACAGAATCCAACACCGTATCGTTGTCTTGATATCGCATTAATAAACGCCCACAAATGAACTCAACTATCATCTTCAATTTCTCTTTAAAAACAAGTCTGTTTGAGAAGTAATATAACAAGCTGTTTATTATCGGCGTGTATAAAGTACCTCAAAGTATGTAAAAAAAACTCTGCCAACGCCTCGTTTGCAACACATGTTTTGGTATTAGAAGACAGTAAGTAAATAAACTTCCACTTCAAAGGGATCATTACACTTTCTAGTCTATCAAGCGCGCAAGTGGATGCCTAAAAAGGATAGGGTTGAAAAATTATAACTTAAACTTCACCGCGCTATCAATGCTATCGTATAACCGCTTGCATGTGCTTAACTTTCCATGGTTCACGAAATGTCTGAGGACTGAGAGTGAACTATTAAGATATAGCAAATATAAGACGCGTTGGCTTATCTCAAAGTCTTCATTGTCAAGATTTTACCCTGTAGCGCGACCATATACTATGAAGATTTTGGCAGGCATGCATGGGGCAGTGGTCTGGACACATGCAGCACCGACCGGAATTACTGTGTCGCACGTCTTTATAATTCAACCGGTCCCATATAGAAAGATGTAAATATATATTATTTTTTTCTCGAAATTTGGAACCCAACATCTTGTTGCCAGTCTGTCTGAACATATATGCCCTCGCACTGTTGGGCAGTAATTATTAACTGAATTAAGGAAATAAAAAGTACGAAATCTATATCCGATGTTGTTTACTCGAAGAAGAAAAACACAACATATTTGTTATATACGCTGATGTGAACACTTTAGGTTGTTCTATATTATAGTGTTGTATATAAGACTGTCGGGAAATGTTTGACTGTAAACGATAGTATTTTGAAGGTTGATTTGTCTCTTCGTCTGTTTATAATAAACACAAACTGGTTTGGCGTGCTGAGAGTACTCAGTTGAATTGAGATACCCGACCAAGATCAATCCAGATAATCCTGTATAGGGATGTCAAACACTTCACTCAGAAATATACACATTCACGCATCGACTACCGCTTCAAAGAATCATGGAAATATAGGTATGATAACAAAAGAGCTATACTTCTTCAGTAAACAACAGGATTGGAATTGAAATTGAATTTAAAATACGACAGCTCTCTATTATACGTTGTTCTAATACATCAGTTTTGGGTTATCGAAAGCAAAGCACGAAAAGACCATTTGTTAATATGTGACGGATGTAAGTGAACACGAAATTTATACAGAATTTTAGTTTTATAATGACGCCAGAATAAAAAACGTTCAGTAAACTATAAGAAACTTACAAATTAGTGAAAAGTGGATAACTAATTCTTTTTAAGTGCTCTTAGCTGTGCGCGGTTATTTAAAATCTTAAAAGGAATCTGCAGGGGCATACTGTTGAAACGCAGCGATTCTAGTATAATCTGCGCAAATTGAAGTGAGTCGGAATTTATGCAGAATTTTAATATACACTGATAACTTTTACTATGCGAATTTAAGTAGATAACTAATTCTTTTCTACTTGCCAAAAAAAGCCGCGAATAAAGGCTATCTTTTCAGTTAACCTTTTTTGGCAGTATAGCCATTTAAAAAGCATGTTTATAGGGAGTCACGAGCCTGCTGCGTGCACCGCCGTGAAATCGCACCAATGGCAATGAAATAATTTGTACAATTTAACGTGATGTTGGCATGGCCATGCTTTGATTATGGTCATTACGTTTCGGAAATGTGATGTGGTTACGCCTGTCTATATACGATGGTTGGTTGGCATCGTATACCTTCATGCAAGCCAAATTTGGCGGCAGCCACCTCAGATTTCACTAAACTAAAGAGTGAAGCGTTTTGCTTCGTGAAATGAGCCTAAAGGCCCACGGCCACACAGACCGGACGCTATTCGGCAACGCGACGCGAATTTTCAGTTTTCAAAAACAAATAAAACCGTCAACGGATAAACATTTTACAAGATATGCAGACCAAATAGCTAAAATTGCTCAAGTGGTTCCGAATATTTGAAAAACATAGAAAAATATTGAACTTAAATGTCATTGAAAATTGAAAATTCGCATCGCGTTGCCAAATCACGTACGGTCTGTATGGACCTTTAATCACAATGTAGAGGACTGTAGAGCACCGGTAAGTCGAACTCCGAAGTGTGGAGCGAACAAATGTTCGCGTTAGCGAGGAGTTAACTGGAGTAAATTAGTGTAAAAATTGGGCCAAATCCAGGGGAAATTGGATTTAATTCGAGTTAGCAGGGGTTCTAGTAGACTTTCGCAAAGTCCTTCTAGTAGACTTTCGCAAAGTCCTTCTAGAACGAAGGAATTTTAAAGGAAGTAATTTCTTGAAGAGTAAGGAATTTGCGGAAGTGCTAAAAAAAATGTGTTATGGCTTAGGGTAAGGAAGGGCACAGTTAATAAATTATTAACTGTGGGAAGGGTTTCTCATTTGAAGCTTGTTGTTTTGAAGCTTGTTGTTTTGAAGCTTCTCATTTGAAACTTGTTGTTTTGAGCTCTGAATGTTTTCGGCAAGCCCGAAACGAGACCAGGGTTAGGGTATTAAGGAAGCCACAAACAGCGAGACATAATTATATGGGGGCGTTATTACCGATTGTATTGGTGCGTTAGGTGAAGTATGCACAAGTGTGACGGATCTTTTCTTGATCAAATCCACAGTTCCCAGACCACCTCAGACAAACTTGCACCCAATTTTTCAAGGTTATCAAAGGTATCCCAGTGTCATGAGTGGTTTACGTAGACTGCATAATTGTCCGTAAGTGTGTTTATTTTTACCGTAGATTACGCTTTTCATCCAATAAGTCGGAAGACAAGATTTGACTGAGCGTATAACCTCTAATGCGATTAAGCGCAATCTATCTGAGGACACTACATTGAAGCTTTAGATTAAAACTCACCTTAGTTTGAAGATATTGCATAGTTCGTGATTGTTATTTTAATACGACGTATATCATATACAATACATCAAGAGGATTATATTGTAGTGATTGAATCAGCGAAAATTGTGTTAAAAAAAAAAGTATAGTAGAGTGTAATGATCACATACTTTGAAGTGTTTTCACTAGATCACTATCGTGAATTCCTCTGTAATAGACTAATAGTGAATGCATCACGTTTTGTCCACAAGTGTTTTGTTTACTTGAGATCAATACTGGTTCATTCAATGAGGCCTCAAGAATAGAGCCATCGAACGCAATTTATCTGTTTCGATCGCGTGCACGCGCTGATTAAACGGGCACGTTCGTTAGTGGAAGTCACGTAGTATTCAAAGGGGAAAAGATTGGGTCGCCACCAACTTTATGAACAGGTTTTGTTAATTGTTATTACTTTATTATACACAAACACTGATTTTGCCGTATTCATAAAAGTCGTTTTGCGTTTAGCGCCGCACAACGTGGCAAAAATGATTGTGGACAGCGTGTTCTTCAATAGAAACACCTGGCTTGCCCAATCATACCCTTGCCGAAACAGAAATATCCAATCTCCCATTCAATGTTGAAAGCTGATAAATTGGGTGGGTGAAATCTTTGTGAAATACAATATACAGGGGGGGGGGGGATACAAAGATACCAATGTGTATACACGAATAGTAATAGTTAGGTTTATAGCTAGTGTCCACAGAATTTTTGCCATGATTGCAGCACATTCATTTGGAAACAATTTTAGGTTGGTATTTACCCAAATATTGAATTGTTTTGTGGTTGTTTAATTAATATCACGCAAGACTATATCACCGGAAAAAATACCAGGCGTTTTGGTTGGATTGTGCATCTTTGTTGCATTTTAAACATCGAAAAGTTCGTTGAGAAACGATGTGCTAAATAGCCAAATGTTTCGAGTACAAATTAAATCACTACATAAATATAAACTTCAGTAGTTCTGAAATGTATTTTTTATATATTTTCGACAAAAAATACACTGCGTGTATTGGTGTTATGTACTCAGGTGAAGATGATGTTTGTGATGTTACTCTGAGTGTGCGTCCACACCGGGCAAGCTCAAAGGTTTGCCAGACCACGGTGGGAATCGAACCCGGCGACCTCAGTTTGAGTCAGTTGGTAGAGCATTGGACTAGCATCCCAAAGGTCGTGGGTTCGATTCCCACCGTGATCAGGCAAACTTTTCAGCTTGCCCGCGGTGTAGATGCACACTCAGAATAACATCACAAACAAAAATGACACTGTTATGAAATTACAAAAAATTAATTGCATGTCAAAATTTGGTTAAGTAGGAGAAATGGGTGGACGTATTGATTGTATATAAACTTCTGAAGAATTTACTAATTACTGTCATAATGAATTCTCCAGTTGATTAACAGTTTAACTGTTGACTTTGCGCACATTATTTAATATATCCTGAGGCCCGTTTGAATGTGCGTCAGTTTTGCGGCATGTTTTCTTGCATGCATGAGATCCCAAGAAAACCCTCGAAGCAGAATTTGTTGTTTTGAAAAGGCCGCAACTTGTCTAGCATAATGACGTCTTGGAATAGGATGCGTGATGAAATGCACTGGATTTTGTTAACAAACGTTTTTTCAATCATGACTTGTATTGATTCGTTTGAGTTGAGTTGACTGTGGCGATTGAAAAGGAAATTGACTTTCATTTGAGTCGATTTATTCCGTTTCCTTACGCAATAAATATTGCATGCAGCGAGCATATTAGCCGTTCATTATAAAAAGATGACAAATACTAATTCTGGCACAACTTCTTTATATTCGGGTGTCCATGTGTGATTTGAAAAATCGATGCAAATAAAGTCCTGATTGCTTTTTTTTTCATTAGGCGTAAAACCGTCTGGTCGTTATTCTTTTGACTGGTAAAATATTTAAGAAAGAGTCCGGTTTATAAAAGGGAACTTTTTCTGAAGGCGACCGAAAACAGGTTAGTATTATGATTTTGTTTGGTCATTTTATACGAGGTGTATACTTTGGCAAAATTTTTCCACGAGTTGCAACGCTATTCCGGATACGGACTATGTTTTGTAACTAACTTTATACAGCGTAGTCCTGTCAGTTCTAAACCGTTCTCCCTAGTCTAGAGGTCCAATAGAGGTGGTCTGCTAGTGATCCAATGTTACTACATCCGAAGACCTGAACAAAACTAACTTTATTTATACTGGATAGCTTCATATAGTTGTAAACAGTTCTCCCTAGAGGTCCAGTAAGGGTCAGACACTCTTTATTTGTTTAGAGTTACTACACTGTGAAACCTAATATAAACTAAACTAACTTTATTTACACTGGATACCTCTGCCAGTTTCAAACTGTTCTCTGTAGAGGTCTAGTAAGGATGGTTCTTTATTTGGAAACCATAAACTAAACTAACTTTATTTACACCGGATAGCTCTATCAGTTCCAAACTGTTCTCGCTATAGAGGTCCAGTAAGGGTCACTATTTATTTGTTCAGTGTTATATCACACTGTTAAAAAAAAGAGTATGAAACCTAATATAAACTAAACTAACTTTATTTACACTGGATAGCTCTAACAGTTCCAAACTGTTCTCGCTAGAGGCTCTATCAGTTTCATTCTCTGCTTCAAAGCGTTGGTAAGTGCTATGAATTAGATGGGAACAAAGTGAACAAGTATAAACATACGCCTGTCAATCAGATCAATGGAATACGGTACGCCTTGAGCGCCGATGATTGAATATACATTTCATTTCTTCATTAATCAATGGAACTAATATCCTTTTGTTTTTTTAGGGATTGGTTGGCAGTAGAGGTACGGGCCTATCCATGAGCTCAGGACACGAAGAAGACATGAGCGGTCTGCACATTTGGTTTCACGTTCATTCCGCTTTGCTCGGAATAATATTCCTCTCAACTCTCGTGCTGAACACGTTACTCATTCTTGTTCTCCGCAAGATGAAATCGAGACGTTCGAACCGAGACTGTGCGAGCTACAACATCGAACGGTCATACATGTATTTGCTCTTTCACCTCGCTTTGGCCGACATGCTGGGCGTTATTTTGAATATTCCGTTCGATATTTTCCGCAATGCGAGTATCGTTTATTACTTCACCAGCGCTGGATGCAAAATGTTACCTCCGTTTCAACTCGCGTCGACAACAGCGCAAGCCGGAACTTACGTAGCATTGAGCTACCATCGTTTTCGAGCGATCGTGCATCCGATTCGAGCAAAATTGACCGTGTATAAATCCTTGATTATGATAACCATTATTTGGTTCATTAGTATCTGTCTCTCCATGCCATTCGCCATCGTGCATAGGTTTAATGAGACTTCGTCGAGTTGTTACGAAGAGTGGACGGCTTCGGCTGGGAATATATACACGTTTGCGATATTTGTCGTACAGTATGCTGCTCCCGTTTCATTGATGGCTGTGTTTTATGTTACAATTGCAAGAACATTACACGAGTAAGTATTGGTGATTGTATTTTCATTCCATCGATTGATTGATTAATTTAGAACGTTGCTTCCTAACTTAACTATGGCGTTTTTGTTTCCTGTACATACTGCAGGAGACTAGCTGGAATTTTTTTCCTGCTGTACTGAAAATACTTGAACATTATTTAGACTACTGATTTCGAATAAATAGCGGTGTTTCCAAAAGCAAAATCCGTGCCATTCAGGTTAAAGATTTTTCCAGTTTTAGATCTTTGAATTAACTGAAAAACGTCATGTAGATCATTCTAAAACTTATGCCCGTTTTATACGTTGAATTTTGGTCGCGTCGAATACAATTAAGACAATAGATAATGAGATGATAAACCTCATTAAGCTTCATTATCTATTGTTTGCATTGCATTCGACGGGACCGAAATTGGACGTATAAAACAACTAGAACAATAGTAACAACAAGTTGTGAATTGGATGAACAGACGTTGGCCAAATTTGTTTATTAATTGACTTACTATTTTTTATCCTTCAGTCATCGCATCGCGAAAGAACGAATAAATGTCCCGATCCAGGACGATATCCGCTCTCACAAACATATCGTCAAGATGCTTGTTACCATAGTAACCGTGTATGGCGTGTGCATGTTGCCACATCACATCTTCTGGATAGTCATTGGTTTAGAAGATGTCAACCCGACAGTGCGGGAAGTAGTCTCAAGTATAATATATCTCTTCACCTATTCCAACAGCGTCGCTAATCCACTGGTGTTCTTTTACTATAGTAAGGAAAGCCGGTATCATTTAAGACGATTTTTTAACAAACTACCATGCGCGCGTACGATAGACGTACCTTTCGAAATAAAAAAATGGTCAGCAACTTGGTCTGGAGTTTCAAAAAGCGATTCACAACGCCCGCACGATAGAAACTCTTCCAAAGAACATTTGAAGCTTGATAAATTGTTCCCCCCTAAACCCGGGGATTCAGACCTCGGAGTTTCGCTACCCTGGGAGGCACAAGTCATGACTTCTCATGCAAGCTCTGGAAGTTATAGGGATTATCTCTCATCACCTCCTCTCCATCCACATTCTATATCCCCAGAGGATCCACTAGAGCACACAAATTACACTACGAATCCTTTTCTGTACGCTGTAATACCTGAAGGCACTCACACGAACCCAAGTGAAACGACACTTGATATACTGCATGAACAAGAGGAAAGTTTTACGGATGATAACGCATGCGCGGAAGACGTTTCCGAGGTGTGCGAGGATGATGATCCTGGTGAGGAAACAGGGGGGTGTGGCGAACCAAAGTGTGAAAATGGGAGTGAGGACTCTGTCGATAGTACTGGGGGGTACATGTCTGAACATGACCAGGAGGGGATGTCTGAGATTAAAGACGAGGGGGAAGTTCCCTGGGACGAGGAGGAGACGGAAACTGCGTCGGACTCCGACGAGGATGACACGGCACGTGTACAGCACATGATTGAGAGAATGATAAAAGATATAAGACAAGAACTAAACCAAGACGGTGATGGCGCCATGAATGGCATGAGAAAATTGGAAGATATTTTGAATCTTAATGAAAGTTCTTCCAACGGTGAATGGTATGGAGAAGGCTTGAATGGGGATACCGTTAAGGATATGACAGGGTATCAGGACAGTGAGGAGGATATACTTGGATTAAAGAAACATCTGGAGAGTTTGCCCGAGACACGGATGTAGAAGGTTGATGTACAGTATGAAAGATTAGATCTTTTCTGCTGGCCCAGAAGTAAAGATCTAAGTTCTGGCTCTGCATCCCAGACATTCCACGACTATAGGGGTACATATTTCTATACTTCACGCGTAAAAACAGTTTCGTGAACACCGCTGTCAAACGTAAAGCGCATGTGCGAATCAACGAAAATATATGGGAAATTGTCTGCCAAAATGACTAAAGGAAATACGGGAAAAGAAAACGATTACTACAAATAAACTGCTGAAGCTATAAGCTCAAGAATTTCACCGTTTTTTTTCCATGTGTCAAGACCAAGTTATATTGAGTTTAAACTCTCGTAATTTTCTTTAAACTTTTTGCTAGAGCTTCTTGAAGACAATACTATTTGAAGTTTTTCAAGTGCAAACAGTAAATACGCATACGTTTGACAGCAGTGTTGTCAACGTGAGGGAACGAGTGACATAAACTAACTACGGTATTAAATTTGCCCCTATTACTATTTTCCACGGGCAACTTAGACAAAGGATGAAACAAAAATCTAACAGGCATCTAGAATTATCCTCTTTCAAATTATCTTACTTGACAACTGACAGTTGTTGGTTTGAATTTTAGCTATTTAGCAGACAATGACGACAATAATATCCATTGCATGCAAAAGACCTGCACCAAATGTATTTACAAGTGATTGAGTGAAACAAATGTAAAAAGCTCTTAAAATTGAAAGTTTCAATGTTAATAAAACAATTATGTAAAGAGAGAAATTGCAGTCAAGGTATGTACTGTTAAATGACCCGTTAAATATTTAAGTTGAACAAGGTTTTTCGATTAAAATCAGACATGCTTTTCCCTTTACTTTTCCAAATTGTTGTAGAGTCTAGAAAATCTTGTTATAACAGTTAACTTATTATTCTGTAGTTTGATTACAGTAAACAAAGATATTACGAATTATTTCAAAAATAGTTCTTTTAAATTGAATTTAAATTTAATGACCACACTGTTACATTAATAAACATAAACATTACCATATTATACTTGTTAATGGGCGCATGCATGCATGTGATAAGTCACAAGCTTGTATCCTCACTTTTGTTTCAGAACACAAACCGGATACCGCCAGACTTACCGACTTGATACAATAGTAACTTTGTAACGAGCTATCACTGTTCGTTAATTTCTAGTATCTTTCAAAATTATACAAGATTTCTCAATTTGAGTTCAATCTTTGCTGTTAATGTAGCGCTTTGCCGACCGAAAGTTTGGACTGAAATTTGAATTAAAATAAAACATGGGACTCCATGATCATAAGATTTCAATGGGACATGGCTCGTGGGTCGCCTCTTCCAACACAATACATGTACAAAGAGCGGCAACCGAAAGCAAAAAAACAATTTGGCTTGCCAGCTGCGATTAATTGTTTTGCTTATTAAACAATACTGGCATGACTTTTGTCTCAAATACTTTGAATGTAAGAACATGTCTCTGCCAGTTGAAACTTATTTCTTACAATGCTCTCAGGAGTAATATGAGTAAGGTTTTCTACCATTTCAAGACAGAATTTCACAGGAAAAACTGGTGCACTGAAATTCTACCTATTTCATGCTAAATTTAGACCGAACGTCAGAACATAAGCTCATTAACATAAATTGCCACCTCCGCAATTCGCAAAGCGTAGTGGGAAATATTTAAAGATGGCTGCTGGAAAAGACGAATCGGTATGAAATTTTATACTTTGTTTTTTTTTTTGTTTTTGTTGGTCTAATTTTAAAAGTTTTTGTATAAACGAATGATAGATGTATTAGTTAGTTTAAAAGTTATAAAAATACAGGTTTAATTATAAGATTAGCGTAGTTAATGCCGTTTAAAATGTGCATTATTTTGCGTCTTGAACAAAACGGAATGCTCGCTGAATGTAAACAAACTTATGCGATTGTGGTTTTGTGTTGAAAGGGCTTTATTCTACCGAGCGTTTCGTTTGTATTTTAATGTTAGGCATTTGAATATGTTTGAATACTGTTAGTTTAACTGTGTTTACAAAGTTCTGAGGGAAATTTTTGTGAAAAACGTGTAGAAAGTTCATATTTTCGAATCTGACGCGTGTAATTAAATTATTTAAATAATAGCAGTCAGATATAAATCATTTTAGCAGGTAGTCTCTAATAGTTCTGTTGAGTATGTGCTCAAAGCATTGTTCTAGATATTTCACTATGACTAAATTAAAGGGTTATCTGAACATGTTAATGTTCATTTGCAGGTCAGAGTGTATCAGGTGATTTTAATATTTTGTCACATGGGGGAACTGTACTAAAAATATAATATTAATGTACTCGTCGTTCATGTGACTGTGATAGTGAAAATTTTACATGTGATCATACCCAAGTAATTCTTGAATGCATACACAATTAAAGACATGGCCTCAAGCATATTTTGCTTTTTCAACCTTTGTCAGGATTTGTTTATGTCTGTGAGGCTTGACGATGGCAGACGAATATGTAAAATGTCGGTCTCATCTCAAACAACTGGACAGGATGTTGTTGAATTGTTAAAACCAGATGACGAGAACGTGTATTATTTACTTGAAATTTGGAAAGGATGCGGTAAGAATGTGTTAATTCTTTCATTGAGTGTGTAACATGGGGTGCAGGGAGGTATATAACAAAACTTTTGTTGGTAGGGATTGAAACTACCTGGGTATGTCAAATTTCTCCTTGTATTTTTTAGGTAATTGCATCCCTACAAACAAAAGTTTTGTTATTAGAATTATTGTCAATACCTACACTAGCATAGACTGTTTAAGATTATATCAGGGAGATACATACCCAAACAGTCTGTGACAACATAACCTGCGATCAGGCTTTTTTGGTACCAGTGTAGGTAGTGGGAATAACACCTGAAAGCTGTGTATTGAGAAGGATTCAACTACAGGGGTGGAGAAAATTCACTGCTAGCAGGAAATGTTAAACAGCTGCAGGAAATTCATTTGAATGAACATTTGCTATTGAAATTTTGAAGGAAACCTTGACATCCATGTCCCACTATGGGCGCAACAACATATGGTTGACAGACATTATTTCTTGAATTTAAAATCATGGTCAGCTACAACACTATATGTTTATGCACATGCAGATTTAGCACAAAAATACTTTGTTGGTCTGCAGGAATTTTTTATCTTGTCTTCATGTTTTGCTCCCAGGAAGAAAATTTTCCTGCCATGTTCAACTAACTGAAAAATACAAGTAAAACTTCAACATTTTGAGCGAAGGCCCTTCGTGGGGAATTTAGTAGTAGATATATGCCCCCGTGCAATCTCTGGCACACCTGCCCCCCAGAAAATGTAGCCCTGACTAGCCATGCACACAGCCATAGATCCATAAGGAGAGACAATGTTTTACTAACTTTTTGAAAAAAATACAGTTGCAAATTGCAATGTAAATTCAACCATAGAAAATTCATTTTCACCTAGCCTATGCACAGACAGAACTTTCAATTGCACCTGGCGTGGGGAGCATGTTTTCAGGGAGGCAAGCATCGTTGTTCTATCAAGTGAAAGCCGCTATCAAAACGTGCATAACTTATGGTATAAGGCATCTGCATACAATTGTATTTCATGTCTTTCTTGTCATTTCAGAACGACCAATAGCACATGAAGAAAAGTTGAAAAATGTGTTATTACAATGGGGAAGTGATGTAGATGACGTTGTATTTATGTTAAAGAGAAAAAATTTTTCATCAAGACAGGTAAAACTTAGGAAATAATTGGAAATACTTTGAAACTAAGTACCTTTACAAGAACGACTTCAGTGTGACGTAAAAATTTTTTATGTGGCATTTTACTGGTAGTATCACAGTGGAATTGTTTCATTAAATGTTTAGTATTCCTACATGTACCTCTAAAATTCATTTTCCTGCCTCAAAAGGATGCCAACAGGGGGGGGAGGTATTCATTCTAATTTTTTATTTTAAATATTCGTATTCCTACCATCAATATTCACACTACACGTACTTCAAAACCCAATATTCAATATTCATCTTTCACCCACAATGGCAGTAGGCTTGCTCCTAGTTTTTGTCACCCCTCTATAATTTTGGACCTATTTTTCTAATGGAAATGAGACTTAGTTCAAACTTAGAACACAGTCACATTTTATAAAGTCAAGAATAGTCTACATGCATGTTTCAATGGTGTTGCATATATCATGATGCCTTCCCATTACCATAGAGATACTTGAACAATATAGAATATAAACCAATAGACATAAACATTTACTTTTCAAATGACTATACATGGAAATCTTGCTTTGTTGGCTGACCAGCAAATTGTCTCCCATATAAACTGCCCTTGGCTAATTTCCTCATATTTAGCATACAATTATTGTTGTTGACCATTTTCGTATTAAAAAGAGTACTTGCTATATTGTCTTTTCAGAAACAAGCCAAGCCTTTACGAAATTCTCCAGTGCCCGACCAACTCCAAGACAAGCAGCAGAAAGTTGAAAACCTCGAGAAAGAAGTTCAGCAGAAAGAACAACATCTGAAATCTTTACGAAACAAGGAGACGTCAAAGAACAACTTGAAGACAAAATATGTCAAATTGTTGGAGTCCAGAGTTATCGAGCAAGAAGAAAAGCTGCAGAGTTTGCAGTCTGTACAAGATGAACTTTTTAAAACCAGACTTGATAATGAAAAATTAGGTAGGCAAACTTAGTAAGATTTTTTATCAGGGTTCGTAGCGGTCTTTGAAATCCTTGAAAGTCTTTAAACTGGAATGCAGGTCTTTGTAGGCTGGATCGATATACCGGATATATCCGATATACCAGTATTTGTTTAGATACCGGTTTGGCGATATTGACAATTTAAAAATACCGATATACCGACATTTCGGTATTTTGCTGCCTAATACCGAAATGAAACGCTCTTTCAAGTCAAACTTGCTTACAATCACGTTTAGAAAGCAAAGTTAATACTCGCAGATGCATGATTTTGTTCTTACAGTTCTAGCGGCTTTGATTTAGCAATACCAGACGTCTTGTTTATTAAATCGCCTTAATCGGAAATATAAAAATGGCGAAATTTTTAAAGGAAAATTTCGACAAAAAAGAAAACTTTGATTTTGGAAGGTGGAAGTACTACCATTTGCGAAGCAGCGAAAACCTTTTCTGGCTTTTCAAGTTTTTTTACATGCTTGCTAACTTGTTTATGTGTTAGTTTTAAAAATGCAACGTTTTTTATGTTTATAACTATTAGCAGCTTACTGAAACACTATCTGAATTTATATACAAAACGAATATTTTTCTGAATGATTCAACACTTCGACGCCCAATCGACGGCCTACTATTAAATAATTGCCGCTTAGCGCTGTTAATTGTTAACATAGCTTGATAATGCGAATCTTGTGACATTTGCACTAATAACAGTATGTGCCACATTAATATTTTGTCAAAACTGATTTTTCTTGACGGTCAGCACTTCAGTTTGGCTTAAAAAAAAACTCGTTAAAAATACCGGAATACCGGTATTTACCGGTATTCTGATGGCGGTATATCGGTATTCGGTATTTGCGATATTGATCCAGCCTAGGTCTTTGAAGTCTTTGCATTGTGTGAAAAAGTGAAGAAAGTCTTTAAAAGTCTTTAAATTCTTTGGTGAGGAATTGATTATACGATTTCCTAGCTAATAAAATAGATAGATTGAATCAAGATTTTCGCAAATATCAACGAAAATGCGCATTTTAGGATGTGATTTGATGGCACTAATTACTGGGTAAAAATGGTGCTTACACTCGCAAAAGGTCTTTGAAAAGTCTTTGAAAATAGGCGGAAACAATCTTTGAAAGTCGTTGAATTTTTTTGGTCTTGGAGAGTACGAACCCTGTTTATACTGGACTTCTCATGAGTGTTGGGGCAAAACATTTTTCGTAAGGCAAAAAAAAATTGGTAGGGCAGTTGTTTGTACAGTACTTAAAAAATGCTTTAAAATGTTACAACGAAATTTACAGCAATTTTGGTTAAAAAGTAATTTTGAGAGAAACATGATTTTAGATTTTAAATGCTTTTCATCGTAAATATGCGACATAGAAAACAATCGCCTCTTAGTACTTTGTCTTTCCTAACTTATATGCTTATATATCTTCTTACTCATTCATTGTGTTATTAACACGAACCTATTTCTTTTTAGTTTTAGAATTGAGTCGTTTACGCTCAATGTTTGTGCTGAAACACCAGCAGTTAGCGGACGCCACGACGCGGGTTGAATTGCTGAGTAGAGAACTGGCCAGATCTTCTCAACAAAACGAAATTTCAAAAGACGGTGCTCCATTGAACGAAAGAAACACACAGGTTTAAATTCTATATCAAGTTATATATTTTATATTTTTGAAGTATAGGACGAAACAATCTCCGAATATGTATGTGTTGAAAACTATACACGCAAAAATCTCACATCTTGTAGCAAGTCTGCCAAAAAGTCGTTACTACAAGATGTCTTCACACTGCTTGTCCAGAGTTATCAACAATTTTGGAACAAGCTCTTAGCAACCTTGTTGATATTATCAGTCAGACTTGTTACAAGGTTGCTCCGAACTCTGTTTTCAAAAGCCACAACTCCGTTCTCAAATGCCAGAACTCCGTTTTCAATTGCCATAACTCCTTTTTCAAATGCCAGTACTCCGTTTTCAAAAGTCAGCACTCCGTTTTCAAATGCCAGAACTCCGTTTTCAAATGCCAGTACTCCGTTTTCAAATGCCAGAACTCCGTTTTCAAGATTGTAACATTGTTATATCACGACTGTATCGGATTTGTTAGAACAACCTTGTCACAACTCTGATAATGCCGCCAAGCTTGTTACAAGTTGTTAACAGCTTGTTCCAAACTTGTTGAAACAACTGGGAACAAGCAGTGCGAACACAACTTGTTGATGGTTTGTTGGCAGACTTGCTACAAGACGTGAGATTTTTACGCGTGAAGTTAAGGCTTATCTTAACATGGGTTTCTTTTTATTTTTAAATTTAGCATGCACAGTACAGCAAGCCTAATGCTCAATCAGATATATATCAGAAACAATTGCTTAACCAGCAATATTTAAGTGAAGCACAGCTCTTACAACTGCAGGCAAATAATGGATACCCCACAAGTACATTAAACCATAATGGACAAGTTGGAAAGGACTTCCTCTTTTTAAGACATGGGATTTTGCAAGAGCGTGGCGACCTAAACAGTCTGTTGGCATGGCAAAATGACGAAGAAAACGACACGGAGACTAGTGCTGATTCCGGTCACGTGTCTAATGACTCGCCTCCTTATCAAAATAGACTGGGTCCGAATTTTCAATTTTACCCCAACCCCCCGGATATGTATTGCGCAAAAGCTGAACGGTTTGATATTGACCAAGATTTTGGCAGTCAATTGAAGGGTAACCAGGGGGGAGTTGGACCTCAGGGCCTGAAAGGAATGTCTGAAGTGGACGGATGGTCTAAGCTACAAGGAAGGTATCCATCGCCTACAAACGGCAGTGCATTTAATCCGCCATTTCAACCCCCCGGAAATTCAGACCCTGCTCAGCAACTTTTTGTAAACACAGATGTCAAACAGGGGGGTGTCGGACCATTCTTGAGACAACAGCATGTCAATCGCGATTCGCCTCAATCAACATCGTCATTGTCCTCCATGTCTTCAGAGTCGTCGAGAAATGAGTTGTCCTCGTTCCCAGGGTCACGCCCTATACGGATGGGTCCTCAGGCCAATCCGTCATCTTCTGGTATACCAAGCAATGACATGCGAAACATGAAGTCTAACCGCGATTCTGGTTCACGATCCACCACACCAACAAATGAACGTAAACAATCTACCTCCAGTGAAAGTTCGTCCGATGCACGTCAGAAGTCCAACCGTAACTCCGGATCGAAAACCAATACTCCAACAACCGAACATAAACCTTTTATTCCTAACGAAAGTTCATCCGATGGATTGAATACAAGCCGAACCGTTGGTTCGATCTCGCATTATCACAGGAATCGTGAAGGGTCTCTCGAGAATTCAAGTCCTCTAACCCTTGGGCCATTCACAAAGGAACGAGCTCCATCACAGACTAGCAACAGCAGTTCAGAAAACTCAAGTCATCGTGTGAGAACACCGTCTACTGAGAAACCCGCTGTGCCAACAAGTTTAATGATTCCTAAAGGAAATGAGCTTAGGAATGGTCATATGTCACCTACGGTAACAGAGTCTAACACAGGCCCGAATTTCAAACACGGCAACCAAGTGAAATCAGATTCGCCAACAACGAAAACTCGTTCAATGCCACAACAAGGTGGGGCCGTTATTCAAAATGGTCGCTCGTCCCCAATGGTTCTGGACCTCGCAGCACAGAGCACAAAAAATCACACGCAGCAAAACATTAGTCGTAAAAAATCTCCACTGTCTACTGAGCGCTCAATCCCCGGTTTAAGTGACCCTAAGGGTCGTTCTTCCCCTGCGATATTCGACTCTAAGAGTACTTCTTCCGATCGGGCATTTGGCACTACTGGTCGTGCGTCTCCAAAAATGGTTGACACTAAAAGTCCGACTTCCGATCGTAGATTTGACCCTAAAGGTCGAACATCCCCCCGGGTTTCTGACCCCCATGTGGAAACCTCGGTGGGTAATACATCAAGTAAGCCAGATAAGGGAGGTTCAAGTCAACCGCCACTGTCCTCTCCTGCGGTAGAGGAACTGCTCAATGACATGACTGCATTAAAAGTTACCACACGAGAAGTTAAGCCAATTCAAATCCAAACTAGAGCCGAAAAAGACTCCGATAATATCCCGGTTGAAAAGGCAACCGTTAAAACGAATACATCTGTGGTCGATACGAAATTACCATCGGGTGGTCAAAGCAAGCGAGTACACAAGCCTCCTAAGCCTGTCCCGCGAAAGCGAACAAAAACACCGCCGGCTCGAGGTTCTGATAGTGACAGCAATCTCATGGTGACGCCATCTCATGAAACTAAGGCAACAAAGTCAAGTGGAAACAATGCCAAGGGTGGCGGGCAGAATAAGGATAATAAACCCCAAGTGCAAAGCAAGGAGAAACCAAGTGATGGACTTGGCACTAAAGCATATGATTCGATCTTAAGGAGCTCTAAGAAGAAGAAGAAAGGAGGTATGTATATTGAGACTATAAAACCAGGTTGTGGGCAAAAATTGAAGAAATTGACAACACTGTTGTCACAACAGTCACAACAGCGAGATTTTATATGTCCTTGCAGTCACTTCATAATATTTTTATTTCTGGGATCCTAAATTTTCTGGTCAAAATGTTCTGCCATATTATGTATTATTCTAATATTCTTCCCAATAAATTATTCTCTGTGTCTGTTAGCATTATTCAATGTCCTAAGATTTTCTGCCAGCTGAGGCAGGTCAGAAAATTTTCTGGGATCCTAGATGCCAGGATCCACCATTAATTCCTGCTGTGTTGAAAATTTGCTCATCCTTATTCTTTCCAAGGTAAAAAGAGCGCGAAACGAGTGAGCTTGGATCCACATGCGGTTTTACTTCACGCTTCTCTTGAAGGAGAATTGGAACTAGTCAAGAATATTATACATCAGGTTGGTACGAGTACTTTGAGAATAGAAATAGGGAAGCTTCTGAGCTTTGAAATTAGGTAAGGGTAGGTGGCGTTGAACTTTACTGATATTTCTCGACTTTGTTTTATTTCAAAGGTTGAAGACCCAAGTTATCCGAACAACGAAGGTCTGACTGCATTGCATCATGCTGTATGCAACAGCCATGATGATATTGTCAAATTCTTGATTGGCTACGGCTGTGATATTAATGCCGCGGATATGCAAGGATGGTAAGATATTATGGTGCAATATTATTCAATGCATACCTATAGACTATGAAGACCAACGTGACGTGTTTCGTGTTTTTGTTTAGGACATCGCTGCATTGCGCAGCGGCGAACAACAGTATTGAGATGTGCAAGTTTCTGATCAACCACGGCGCGTGTGTATTCGCTGTGACTGCTATCGAGGGCAAAACGCCATCGCGATGTTGCGAGAAAGAGTCGGAAAACTTTGAGCAATGTTTCACGTATTTATCAGGTAAGATAACAGCAGAGTATATTTGGAAGAGGGTATAAATATAATCTTCAGCGTTCTATATATAGGTCGCATTTACGCCTGTATTCTAAAAGCTCACTCACACTCAATGAGTGAAGGTTCAATCTGAGCTTCCCTTGAGTGTCAATGCTCTTTTTGTATATCTGGACGGTGAGTAGTAGTCAGATAGTACGGTACGGCACTACCCTCCAGCTATTCAGAAACAGCATTGACACTCAAGGGAAACTCAGATTGAACCTCCACTCACTGAGTGTGAGTGAGCTTTTAGAATACAGGCGTTAAACTTTAAAAACTGGAAAAAAATGAAAATTCAGAAAGTTGTTAATATAAACTATATCGTGTGTTGTTCTTTCACAGAGATTGAAAACAACTTTGGAATATCAAACAACGGTATAGTGTACGCTGTTTATGCATATCAGGCAACTCGTAAAGATGAGTTGAGTTTCGAATGCGGAGAGCGCTTGACGGTAGTGCGTCGTGGTGACGTCACTGAAAAGGAATGGTGGTGGGCTCGTGGCATTCGCAACCAGTTTGGATACATTCCGAGAAACTTGTTGGGGGTTGGTATTTATTTTAAACATTTCTAGTTAATTTGCCTCCAAGGACTACCGTGTTCGCCTCAATGTTAATAAAGAATGAAATGGACAATTTAACTTGTGGAATTAAAACGAAAACATTATTACCGTAAGACATTTTCGATAAAGGAAAATTGTTTACCATACACTAACGCGCATGTGGGTGGTTGCTGGATTGCAAATTATTGGGTAGCTTTTTATGAAATTTATCGTAGATTTCAGAAAGAGTGCCTAATATAGCCTGTCCTAACGAATGTTGTTATTGATGAGTCTTGTCTTATTTTTCCTTGAGAGGAGAGTATTTTTCATCATTACTTAATTTTTACTGATTTTTTCTTGTTGTTTTTTTTATTTAGTTACATCCTCCAGTTGCTCCCGACGTCTAAAAGTTGTGGTTTGTTGAAAACGAGGCTATTTTCTCCTTCACGTATACAGGCGAACGTCGATGGCTCTTTCTGGACGTGGAATAATATCCTTCAAGAATATTAAATATCCTTCGAATAATCTCTCAAATAATTTAAGCAAAAGGAACTGCTTAGTACCCGCTCTTATTGTCAGTGAAATTTTGTCACTGTCGTGTGTTGTATTAACTCTGTTTACAGTATACTCCCTTTACATAAACCATTCATAGATCTAATTTAATCGTGTATATAGTAGTCTATTTAATGCAGTCACTATTTTAGAATAAAATCTAAATTAATATAATCCACACAATGAACACGTGTTCAGTAGTCTATTTAATGCAGTAACTATTTTAGAATAAAATCTAAATTAATATAATCTATGCAATGAACACGTATTTTAGTATTTTAGCTGTGTATAGAAAATGTCAAATAGTATTTATGAATTAAATTGTGATGTATAAATGTTTTCTTGTGTTGTTGTTGTTGTTGTTGTTGTTGTTGTTGTTGTTGTTGTTGTTGTTGTTGTTGTTGTTGTGTTTTGTTTAGTATTTTTCCTTTGATACTATTCTACACCATCATCCCTCCACATTGGCTTAATGGCACAGATTTAGTCCCCACTATACTGATGACAGCATGAAGTACATTGGATGGATTGGATGTCTTCTGTCCATACTGCTGACCACCAAGGTAAACATTAATGAGACCAGGTTCGATGACCATTTCATTTGTATAGACAGCGAACTGTGCTGCTTGGATTGTGAAAGAGAGCTAAAAGCAAAATGAATGGTTAGAAAATGAATATAAACTGCACAATCAACTACTGTATAGTTAGTTGCATGTTTAATGGTTATTGGTGATGATGGTTATGGGTAATGGTGATTATGCATGGTGATGATGATGATGGTTATGGGTAATGGTGGTTATGCATGGTGATGATGATGATGGTTATGGGTAATGGTGGTTATGCATGGTGGTGATGATGATGGTTATGGGTAATGGTGGTTATGCATGGGTGATGATGATGGTTATTGGTGATGGTGGTCATTCATGGGTGATGATGATGATGGTTATTGTGATAGTGAAGATGAACGCTATTGCAACTGTTGGTAGGTTTCAATAAGTGTCCCAAGGCAGCAGATGGTATCATGGTAGTAAATTGGTCTACATTTCTCGATTTTATTTGTCACCAAGTACAAAACTACTATCCACAATGAAAGTAACATAATGTCCTCACTCCTATAACTGCCAGTTGAGCATCATCTGCCACACGACAGTGGTCAGTGAAAACCTCCTTAACTCCATTTACTTACTCTAACAGACTGAGACGTTTCAAGAAAACTTCTTTTCATACCAACCAGTTGCATTCGTGGTACTGGTACTGTAGCATTAGGCCAGTTTATATACACTTGAGTTACCTACAATGAAAATAATAATATACCATGCACGCAACTATCTTAAACATGGGGGCCAGTGAAATAGAATATAAGCTGTTGTCTTCTTGAAGTACTTCAGACATTAACCACAGCAGCTGCTGGCATATCAACAACTAGTTTTAGATAAACAATGCCCACGTTTTGTTAAAGAAGGTAGCGAGTCTTCACTTCAAAAAGCGAAATAGAAATATATGGTCTATAGAAAGTAATTGCTATAACCTCCTCCCCACTTCTTGTTCCAATATTTTTAAGTTCTGCAGTGACCACAGCTTGATCGCAAGGCTTTATTTCTTTGGGTACCACTATGTTTGAGTAGTTGAAGTTTGTGTATGAACTATAGAAAAATACAGATTATAATGGTGAAAATAATGATGGTGGTTGCAATAATGTGATGGTGATAATTGTGATGATGGTGCTTGTTTTGTTGTTGATGGTTGTAATCAGAATGGTAGTGGTAGTTATGGGTAAAATATGGTGGTTTTGATGGTAGTGGTGGTGGTGGTGATAATCTATGTGGTAACATTGGTTCTCTCTAAAATTTATCTCTTACTTACAGACCGTATCCAAATGGATAGAGTGGATCTCCTTTGAAATATCTGTACGTACGTCCATCCATTGAATAGTTCGTCATGTCTGGAACCTATGAAACAAGAATGCTTTATATTTGGGTGAGTTACAGTAAAATGACTACCTTTATTAGACCGCTTTCTCAGTTCTGTCTAAACTCTTCTTTCTTAAGGGTTAGAGTGACTGAGGGCCAGATCACCAAATGACATATTAGAACACATACTCTGACAGTTTCACAATTTGTCACTATTACATGTGATATAATGTTTGTGGTATTTCTATGAGTGTGCATCCACAGCGGGCAAGCTGAAAATTTTGCCTGACCACGGTGGGAATAGAACCGCGACCTTTGGGATACTAGTCCAATGCTTTACCAACTGAGCTACGAAGTCAAACATCATATTCATGCACCTGAGTACATAACACCAACACACACAAAAAGTATCATATCTTAGAATACATTGATGTCGAAGGAACTAGACTCAGTTCCGAAATATCACCAACTCGAACCGACTTGACCTCGCGTAGCTCAGTTGGTAGAGCATTGGACTGACTAGAATACACCACAAACATTGGACGAGTAACACCACAAACATCATATATTCACCTGAGTACATAACACTAACACACATTAAGTATAAAGTATTTTATACTTAAAAGTAACGCACGAATGCATAAAATTATTTATAGAACTGGAAGTACTCCTCTCGCATGCGACCATGGCGAAATTATAATGAGACAACTGCATATTACAAGAAACAAAGCCTGGTTACAAAGGTGAAAGATTTACTAATTACTGTCTCACCAAAACGCTTAAATAATAACAATCAACCAAAGTATAACAACCAAAATGAATCATTCGCCTACCTGGTCCATATTAACTGGCCAAGTATAAGGCAGTCGTCCTGCACGGTTCGCGTACCCGAGTAAAACTGCAACCAGAGCTTTCCCTGCATTCTGTCCTGGCAGGAAGTTCAACATGATCACATCTACATTATCCTTTGCCCAGGAGATGTCTACCGGCCCGGCGTTGTACAGCACCAGTATTGTTGGTTTACCCACAGATACAGCGTCTTGAAGTAACTCGAGTTGATGCCCAGGTAAGGACAAGTCTGCTCGATCGTGACCTTCCGTTTCTATTGTTATACCTAATGATTGAAAATATTATATGCTTAGCGGTTTAATTTGTTTCATGGTCTTGTGTCAGTATTGGAGGAAGCCTAGCCTAAACTAATTTTATTTATACTGGACAGCTCTGTCAGTTCTGGACTATTCTCCCCAGAGATTCAGTATAAGGGTCGTCACATATTGCTCCTTTGCTACTACAGGAGGAAACCTAGTCTAAACTAACTTTATTTGTATTGGACAGCTCTCTCAGTTCCAAACTGTTCTCCCTAGAGGTCCAGTAAGGATCATCTCTTATTGATCCAGTGTTACTACAGGAGGAAACCTAGTCTAAACTACCTTTATTTATACTGGACAGCTCTATCAGTTCTAAACTGTTCTCCCTAGAGGTCCAGTAAGGATATGTCTTATTGATCCAGTGTTACTACAGGAGGAAACCTAGTCTAAACTAACTTTATCTACTGTATACTGGACATCTCTATCAGTTCTGGACTATTCTCCCCAGGGGTCCAGTAAGGGTCGTCACATATTGCTCGTGTGCTCTATCAGTTGTGAAACTGTTTTTTCTGAAGGTCAAGTGAAGACCATTCTTTATATGGTCCAGTGTTACTACGGGAGGAAACTGTCAGTGATTGATATACCTGTCCCAAGACAAACGATCACTAAGTCAGACTTTTTCGCTGCATCCATTACCGGACCAGGATAGTATGTACTAAAATGATAATTTCACATTATGAATTATAAGCAATACGGCATTGATATATTAAAATTTCGATTCCTGCCGGAGGGCCTTATCGTTGCGTTTTTCGCAGCAGCTTTTCGTCAGGTCTAAAATATGTATATCAGTTTCATTCGAAATTTCCATAACAGAAATCCCTCCAGATTTTACCCACCTGCATGTCGGGTTCTCGCATCCAGCCAAGTATGTCAGGTTTTCTCCCATGATCAAAGAAAGTTCTGAGTAAGGCGTAGACACGTAGGATTTCTGAAAGAAAACACAAGTTAAACAGGGTGAGGCTAAGCAGGCTGTAGAAAGGTGGAACAATGTCCAAGGCGTGTATCTTTCGCCTTTTGGGACCCAAATCCCATTCGTGCAATATGCAGTTGCATGATTAGAATTTCGCCTCAGCTGGATGTGAGAAGAGTGCTTCCAGTTTGACTCGATTAACAACGCAGTTCTTGGCCTGTACTCACACTGTACCTATAAAAGATGACTCTTACTGGACATCCATGGAGACCAGTTTAGAACTGATAGAACTATCCAGTATAAATAAAGTTTGTTTAGTTTTTTTATCAATACTCAGCAAAATTTGTTTCCTCTATACTTGCCATAATGTCCGGTGAATAATCCCCAAACAGTCCAGCAATGTTATTGGCAAATGGTCCAAGTATCTTGAGGGAAATAAGATTTATATTATTTATGAGAAATATAAGCTTCTGCTGATGGCAGTGAATTGTTGCAGGCAACATACCGTTATTCTCATGGACAAGTCCTTTAGTGGTAATAAATCTTTTTCATTTTTCAACAGAACAAATGATTTGATGGCAGCTTCTAGCGACAACAACTGATGTTTCTTGCTCTGAATCACAGACAAATCCAAGCTGTAAAGGTTAGTAGAAGTATCGGCAGATTGCAGTAAATGTTACCAGGCAGCATTTTGGGCACATGGTGGGTCAACTTCACAACTGTTGATATTTATATAAGAACAAGCAAATTAAACTAAGTCCTCTCAATGCTACATGACATGTTACCTTGTGTAAGGGTTCATTTCTGGCGGATCAAACTCTCCCAATCTCATCCTTGTGTAAAACAGTGGCTTTACGAGTTCTCGTAATGTTGATTCGTTCACCAATTTCTTTGAAACAAAAAATAGTTTTGGAGTATTATTCACCCGTTCCCTTTACAGACGATGTCTTTTTGTCATCTTATATAACCACTCATCTCTGTAAGCTCTCACGCCTTTAAACTATCATCCGACCATCATTTCACCCCTTTGACCTCTTGTGACCTCTTGTGACTCTCATACTCTTATTACTCCAACTTCTGACCTGTCGCCCCTCTCACCCATCCAACCTCTCATCTCTCTAACCTATCCATCTTGCCACTCCTTTAACCTCTCGCTCTTTTCACCCTCCTACCCTTATGACACCAATCTCTCAGACATCTCACCTCTCCAACCAGTCACCCACTGATCTTTCTTACGTTTTTTATTCTCGCCCTCTTATCAGCTCTCCTTAGAGAAGACTACTACTTATCAGCTCTCCTTAGAGAAGACTACTACTTATCAGCTCTCCTTAGAGAAGACTACTACTTATCAGCTCTCCTTAGAGAAGACTACTACTTATCAGCTCTCCTTAGAGAAGACTACTACTTATCAGCTCTCTTTAGAGAAGACTACTACTTATCAGCTCTCCTTAGAGAAGACTACTACTTATCAGCTCTCCTTAGAGAAGACTACTATTTATCAGCTCTCCTTAGAGAAGACTACTACTTATCAGCTCTCCTTAGAGAAGACTACTACTTATCAGCTCTCCTTAGAGAAGACTACTACCACTACTAAGCCAATTTTCCAAGTACCATTTCTTGCAGCTTAAAACGCAGGCGTTGTACGCAAGACGTAAAATCTTTGGTTTGCTAGCTGCTGTACACAGATTTCTTTTCCACACTATCGTAAATTTCATTGTATTAATAACTGTCGCTGTCCTGCTAGCTAAAGGTCCCTGTTCTTGGCTATAATCACAGGCTTCTAATTCTCGCTTCTCCTACCTTCCCGCACCTCCACCTTATTCCAATGTATTCTATGTTATCCACTCTACCTCTGTGACAGCCTCCCCCAGATAACTGTAGATATTCTTGGATACATTAGGCAGGCCCAGCTCCAGATTACACCCAGCATTCACCGCAGCAGCAGCCGTCTCTACTTTGGTCTTCGTGTACTTGTGGAAAAATAGAATGAACTCTAAACAACAAACAAATATAAATTCTTACGATGAAGAGACAATAGCAAAAATTTTGAGAACAGAAAAGAATCGTGTGCTTTGGTTTTCCGTATTAGCTTAGCAATAACCTAGAATGAGATACGAGAGAAGAGCATAAAACCTTACCCAAGGCACCTTCATCACTTATAACATAACCTGAAAAAACAAGACAAGACTCCTCCTGTCAAGGACTATACGAACGTAAAAACGTACAACCTGTAACAAACTTGTAACAGACTTGTACCAATGCTGTTTCAACAACTTGTTATATCAGGATGTGTTCGCACTGCTTGTTCCCAACTGTAACAATGTTGTTGACAACAGACTTGTAACAAGTTGTTTTAACAATTTGTTATCTTCGTACAATTCAGCAACTTGAGTGCAATTCAGCAACTTGTCAACAAGTTGTGAGTGACAACTTTGTGGCAACTTGGTACATTGACAACATTGTCACAACTTGTTGACAAGCTTGCTGCAAGCCTGTTGCGAACACATCTTGTTGACAAATGTGTAGGTTGTGGACATTAACAAGGTTAACCACCACACCTTTGAATTTCCATTTCGTTCTTAGTATATCCGTAAGCAGTTTTTTATTTGCACAAGCAGGCACACCGTTGACACTAGATAGTAAAATGGAAAGATTGATAAATGGTTAAACGATCTACCATTTTGTTGACACAGGAAACTGAGCATGGACAAACCTGTTGTAGCTACACATGATGCTGTATGTTCCCGCCTCTACACATGCTTGGAACTGAGGTAGATATGTCATATACCAATCGCGATCACTCACCTTAAATGAAAGTAAAGTTGTATTATCACTGGTGCCATCTCTGCGTCCGGACTGCCATTCCTTCAGGGGAGTAACGAGGGGGGGGGGGGGGGTACCTGCATGCTCATTTCCCATCAGTTACCTATTTCCTAACAATTTCCAAAATACAGCATTGACCATGCCCAACCACGTCAGAACCACACGCATTTTGTTGGCAAAAATAAGGCCTGCATAGAACTGTATAGAACTGACACAGACACAGTGTAAATAAAGTTAGCTTACCTGGGCGTTAAAACTAAACCGACTTTGAGGAATATTTTCTGGACCACTGTACGCATCAAAATGCTTACATCCTGCATTAGCCAATACATATCTTGGATGATCTGATGAAGAAAAGTTCGGACAAATAGTATAATTTAATACTTCATCTAAACAATCACAGGCGATTAGAAAAGAAACAAACACAATAAACATCGAAACAAACAAACCGAAACAAACAAGCAAACTATATAGTTTTTTCTTTATACCTGCTTGCAGTCCATGAACAAACTGTTGTCCTAAGATTGATGTAAGATAAGGATCCTCCCCGTACGTTTCTTGATTTCTACCCCATAGTGGATGACGCATTATGTTAATCACCGGACTCCTGTTCAGAAAACAATCCGTGAATAAAGGCCAGTAGAATTTTATGACTAGGAAAAATTGTTTCCGATGAAATATAAATCTAAATAATATGGTTAAGCTGGCGAATAATTATTGCGATTGCATACCAGCAGCTTAGACCAGTGTGCATTCCGTATTCTTTAGCCTTTACATAACTGTTATGCTACAAAACAAATGAAAATGATGCTGTTTTTTCTAGTTATGCTGTTTGTTCATTCTAAACTTTATCTTTGTAATAATTACCTCAACTAATAATACTCTATATGAATCATAAACAACACTAAATTCTGCATTGTTATTCTATTTATGCATGTGGTTGTTTTATGATTTTAATGTATAAGCTTTTCAAGACGTGATGTTTGTGGTGTTACTCTGAGTGTGCATCCACACCGGGCAAGCTGAAAAGTTTGCCTGACCACGGTGGGAATCGAACCCGTGACCTTTGGGATACTAGTCCAATGCTCTACCAACTGAGCTACAACTGAGCTACGAGATGTGGATGCACACAGGGGCGTAGGAAGCATCTAAAAGTTGGAGGGGCCAGGCTTTGATGGGCACTTTTCGAAAAAAAAAAGGCATTTAAAAATGAAAAATTTTCCGCAAATAACATAAATTCAAGTTTTCAAAAGTGCCCTTTGGGCAAAAAATGCAATCTGAACGACATTTTTCACGCAAGAAAAGGGCACTTTGCTACTGGAGAAAGGGCACTTTGGAAAACCTGGGGGGCTGTCCCCCCCTGCCCCCCCCCGGTTCCAACGCCCTTGGATGCACACTCAGAGTAACACACACAAAAAGTTTTCCAGACATAATGATTGGAATAAAACTTTACAGTAATATAACCAGAAATAGTTCGCTGTCTTAGTGTCTTACCTTTGCTCTAACCTCGATACCAGTAGCTCTGGCAACTTGGTAAATTAAACCAGGGTCGAAAGTTGCAGCCTAAAAAAACACGTTTAGATTACTGTCTAGAAAACTGTTTAGAAAACTGTAACCAATTTCAGTGAATGGAATGAACCCCATACCCTCTCCCTATTTTTTACGAATTAGAGGCGCTATATTTATTGCAATGATAATGCTTGAAGGTAAATTTTTAACATTGAATTTCCAATTCAAATAAAATCCTTTGACATCTCGCACCCCCAGGACGAAAAAAGAATTTTCGTCCTCATTGGAGCACAACCTGGAGACAAAAATTTCCTGCAGACCAAGTGACCAACGGAGTATTTTTGTGCTAAATCTGTTCTAGCTGATCATGGTTTTAAATTCAAGGAATAAATGTCTGTCAACCATATGTTGTTGCGTCCATAGTGGGACATGGCTTCAAATTTTCAATAGTAAATCTTCATTTAAACGAATTTCCTGCAGCTGTTTAACATTTCCTGCGAGCAGTCCTCGCCTATTTTTCCCACCCCTGCGCACCCCAACAGCAGATGCCTCAATGCCTGGATATATCCTTCCTGAAATGTGTTCCCCTTGCCCTGTAGTCGTTCCGGCGTCCTGTGGAAACGTTTCTTCTCCTTACCATGCCAATTGACATAGGAAACGACGTTGCATCCCCAGCTTCGACGTCGCCACTTAGACATTCTGTTCCGAACTGATAAGCACTGATATTCAGACGGGGAATGGCTGGCGCAGGACCTATAGTGGCAAATGACAAGCAATTGGAAATTGGAAAGGTTGTGTATGTTAAAACAGAGTAGATCTTACCGTTGATTCACTTTTCACCCAATGGCCTCGTTTTCGTGTCGAATACTTACTCGTGTTTTGTGCTTAGTAGGGTTGAAAATTACTTTGTTATTGAGCTTGAGAACAGCAAGAAACAAATTCGTCCAGGAAAACATGGGAATATAATCTTTATCTGCCCCTGACATGCTAAATACGTTAACATGGAAACGAGGCCATTGGGTAAAAGAGAATAATCGGTAAGGTCTATTAACTGCAGAAAATATTGATGATATCGGCACCTCCATCCTTCCAACTTCCATGCGCCATTTGATCAATAATCTCCTCTAGTGTTAATCTCTTCACCAAGTCCTAAAACATGTTAATGTTGTATGAAAAATTTTCGTAATTTTTCATACATCTTCTCCGACTAATTCTTGGATCATTTGTGCGCATATCCATTGGATAATGATTTTTCAACCGTTGTGATGAAAATGCTCGAAAAGCTTTGAAACTACGAATATGGGACTCACACTTAATAAAAAGAAACTTTAATGTAGTATTTAAAACATGAATAGCCGTTTTTTATCAGATATAAAGATACGAGGCGAATCCGAGTATCTTTAGGTCTGATAAAACACGCACTGCGAATGTTTTAAATTGCTTCAAAAACAATCGATCTAGTTCATTGGCGAAGTAATTTTCAAAAAATATGTTGTGTATTAAAGTCGAGAAAATTAACGTTAAAGTTCATGTAAATCAAGGGAAATCTCTATCACATATAAAGATACGACACGCTTGTGATTTTTCTTTGTGTTTTTCTCATGAATTATTAGTAATGCCTTTTTGAATCATAAATACTAACTTTAATTCATAAATATACTAAAGTTGAATCTAGCTTATACCAATCTAAGGGAAATTTTAGGAGCCTTGAAATTGACATGCTCAGCAACTATGTAAGGTAGTTGGCTGAAATATAATGGCAAAGTGCCAAGAAAAAAAGCAGCAATGAGTCGAGCATTGAACGTTTGCCAATTTTTTTTTATAAATTGGTAGCATATTTTACATATGCTTTTGCAACATAGGTTTGATTGTCTGTATGCGGTTTGTCTTCCGGATCAGTCGAGCATAGCCTTCGCAGTCTGGGTGCTGGCTTTCCGGCCTTATCGACATTGTCAAGATTTTAAGTCATTCATAATTACTGCATGCCCAAACTTGCACCGAACGCATCTGGTTGTAATTAGTTGCTTTATTGTATTTTCGAACCCCATGCAATTTATAATAGTTCAATTGAAACTACTGCTTTTAGTAATGTATATTCTTAATGGGTTTAAATGTTAAAACACTTATTCGCAACTTTAGCACAGTATAAATCGTATTACTATTAATTATAGTAATTCATGATTTCAGTTTATCCTTGTTTCCTTTTTTCCCTGTATAACTTGCCACCATTAAGTTTTAGTCGGATTTTCATTGATTATTATGTAGGAAACGATTTGTGTTTGAGTACCATTGGATTAGCAAACAAATGCCACATTAAAAGTTACCAGCAGAAGTCTACGAAAATAATGATGTATGTAATTGGATACGGTATGAACAATAGGTTAAAATAATAAAAATACACAAATCTTCACGAAGCCTCGCAGCTTCTCGGAGTGATATGATTGATTCTTTCTGCTGAGAACAATCGACTATAATTGCTTTGTTCTTATTTGCATCTTCTGAACAGCTGTGACATTTGCGCAAATTATGCAAACGTGCGTATTCCTTGGGATACATTGTACTTGCCTCAACTCTAACATCCCATGGGAGAGAGACGTTCCTAAACTGATAATGGTCACGATGTCCGAGTGTAGATCCATACGATTGTCTGCCAGCGTAGGACAGTACTGTAGCAATGAATAAGATAAGGCACCGTCGTACAACCATTGTGCTGTTTTGGTTGTAGATATAGTATGACTAAACGTCTTTGTTAATATGATTCTATATACTTCCGGGTTCTTCAGGGTCGTAATTGACATATACCGCCTTACTGTGAGAGGATGGATATGATGGCGCATTGTTTGGGGTGGTTCGAATCCTGCCAAGTAAGGCCCGTTTACACTTGCAATGTTTGCTTCGATTTGTAGTGCGATTTTCTTCATCTGATACATGTGAACGAGTAGGTGAGGTATGAATGTTCTGAGTTTTTGCACCTTCATCTAAACATCCTTAACTCGTTCACAGCCATCATAAGAAAAAATCGCACCAAAAATTGCAAGTCGAAACGGGTCTTTTTGCTGCTGTCTAATCAAATTTCGCCTTAGGTTCATTTGAAAACAGTTCTTCCAGTTTGATTAGAGAAGACACCAAATTTGTTCTCCATGTTCCACTGTTCCCCATGTAGGTTGTCTGATTATAATTTCACCTCAGTCACATGTGAGAAGAGTGCTTCCAGTTTGACTCGACCAAATACAACAAGGTTTCTTCACAAGTGTTCTCGTTTCCTCCTGTAGTAACACTGGACCTTGGTCTTGACATATAAGGGTCTCTGAGGCACCTCGCTTGCGATGGAACGTTAGGTCGAAGGGTCGCGAGCGAGAGGCTCCAAATCTACAATATTTTCCCGCATACCATATATTGGCATCACTCTAGTACATGGACATGAGCTTGTTGTACTAGTTCATCACACTTGGACTTTGTAGCTCAATGGTCAGAGCGTTGCACCGAGAATCGCAAGGCCCACAGGTGTGATTCCTGCCTGAAGGCGTATAGTATAGTTGCATTTTTCACAATAACCGCAGGCTAGGTCTAAAATATGTGCTATATAGTTTTCGTTCAAAATTTCAATCTGCAAAAATCTTCAACATAACAATTATATGCAACGTTTTTCACTTTATATTATAGAGTTTAATGATTTGCTAGTTCAATCACACTGTTAAAAAGCTTCACAAGTTTCCTACAATATTGGTCTTGCTAAGGTATAGTACATGCTCAATTAATATATATATATATATGTACTATTTACAACATGAGCGGCCGTGTTGTATCGGATATACAAACTCGAGCCGAAGGCGAGAGTTTGTATATCCGATACAACACGGACGCGAATGTTGTAAATGACTTAAAAAACGACTCAACTTATGAGTTCATTGGCGAAGTAATTTTAAAAATAAACGTTGTCTAAGCCGAGAAAATCAAAGTTAAAGTTTATGTAAATCAACATGAATCTGTATCACATATACAGATACGACACGCTTATGATTTTTCTTTGTGTTTTCTTCATGAATTATTAATGAGTTTTTTAAATATATATATAAGTTACTAATGTATGCATATACAGGGAATAGAATGATGTGTTTCAGTGAAGTGTGCCAAATGGTGCTATATATATGCTTGTCAAATTCAAAGTTGACCATCATGAACCGTCACAATTTGTGAAACATGTATGCTAGTAAAGTATGTATGTTGCTGCTATCTGTTCCGATTTCTTGGGTCTCTGGAAGTATTTATAATGTTCTTCGGTGCTTGCTCGGAGCTACTACTCCCCGCCCCACCCCTCGGAGCCGAGCTGCCTGCCCCTCTGCCCCCTCCGTTTGCATTCCCCCTGTTCCGTAAGCGTGGGTCTTTGGCTGCATTCACAATATTCCCTTGGTTTGCATCTCGCTGGTAAGGGTGGAACCGCGCCGAGCGAGGATCCGAAGGGGCTTGGGAGTGAGTGGCTGATGGGGCAGTAGGTGGTGGGCCGTGTGGGGGTGGTGGTGGCGGAAGGGACTGGGATGGAGTTTGAGGTGTGTGGGTGTTGGGTGTGTCGCGAGTTGGTTTTTCATTGGCCTATACAAAACACATCAAATTGTTATTAGCGAGGTTTAGCAAAGACGACGCGACGTCAAAGACGACGTGAAAATGGTATAAAAATGGCGTGATATGCCCATCTATGGATGTGCCCACGCCATTTTTACGCCATTTTCACGTCGTCTTTCACGTCGCGTCGTCTTTGCTAAACCTCGCTATTAAGAGTTACTGACAGTAATATCAAACTGGATAAACAGAATGAAATAATTGTACCTTTTTGTACTGTTGCAAGAACTCTGCATTGGCATCACTCATGTTTGGCTGTTCAGAAAACACCATGCAAAAACTATAAGAAATATACATTAGTTTTACCATTAATGTCTTGTGTAGCAGTCTTTCTGACAGTAAAATCATCTGGCATTATCAAGAATACATTACTCACTCTCCCATCTTCTCTAGAGATCCATTTTTACTCATATACAGTGTCATTACACCTTTGAATATTGAGGCATACCTAGTCATGGAGAATGTTAAAAACAATAAATACCATTCTTTGCATCATAATCATTAATACACCCTTTTGGCAATTACATCATTTGGCCTGGGAGCCTCGCTCTCATGAATCGTGAGCCAATCACCTTGCGTAATTTAAGACCAAAAGGTAAGTGCGATGAAAGGGTGTATTGGGCTAATTGAAATCTTCAATTCTTTTCAAAAACATCAAATGTTCACATGAGAATAGATAGTACTTTTATCTGATCATCAACCGTACATAACTTTAGATGGAAAAATGATATTGGTGGCCATTCCCGTGGCAAAGCTTACCCTTTGTGTAACCGAATGATGTCACCACTCTGCATCAAAGTGCCATAGTCATCCCATACCGACAAATTCATACAGCCAGTTTTGTCTGCCACTCGGCAAGATCGTACCTCGTGCCCATCTTTTGTCTTATTGGGTTTACCTTCATGAAACAGAACAACAGAATCATATATTTTATATTTGTGCCAAAAATTGATTTTGTGTTGGGTAACCCTCAAAAAACAGTCAATCAGTTATTTTTGCAGACAAATTCTGGTGATGTATATATATTGCCCTGACCCTACTAGCAAAAGATCTGGGGAGAGGAGACCTTGCCTTGTTTGTCCCTCAATCTAAGAGCAATATACCCATACACATCAACCCAAAATAGTTTAAGAATGATTATATAAATCAGGCACCGCATAAAGGCACTTCATTGGCCATAAACAAACTATTTACCAATATCTAGCACGATAAATAGCGCGTTGATGTTCTTTGATCCAGGTCTAATTTCTTTAATGTTGATAAATTTCGTATCATCCGACATGGCTAGCTTGTAATATATACTTCGTCATAAAGGTAAATGAACAAAGCTTTAATTTGTGAGCTTTCTGTCTCTGAAAGGAGCTACGATTGAATTAAAATATAAGACGAAATAAAGTCATAAATTCATTCATTGTCGACGGCCATTTTATATATTTTTCGTTTCTTCTTGCCTGCGAACGGGTGTCCATGAATATTGACCAATTTTGGTAAATTTTAATCAAAGGATTTGGTAATTGTCTAAAATTGTCAACAGACTCAAATATATATTGCATTCTCAGACGCTTTCTGCAAATATTTAAGTAAATAAGAATTTCATAATAATTTTACATCTATACAAAGTAAAACATTTAATTTTAGTGGGTTTTGTTTTATTCTGTATTAAAAAATGTTCATTAGTGTGACTTGAAATTTGATAAAAAGTGCAGAATTTTAACTTGTGATAGGAATAGCTTTCTAACTATAAATATTTGTATGTATTTATTGTAGAATAGTGGTATAATAAAGGTGTAATATACAATGTTCCCTCAGGTATTAAAATATTGATATTGCCCTGGCAAAATATCGGCCAATCACGCAGCGCGGGTTTTCGCGGGGAAGCCCGCGCAGGGCTTCGATTTAAAAATTATTTCAAATTTCACAATAACTAAAGTGTTTATGTATTGAACACTTCCGGGCCTCGTTTGACACATTGGTTTATGGCTGGCCGACAGATAAAGCCGTCTAAAGGTCGGTAGAAACGAGTTCGTCTCACGAACTATCGAAAGTTTCACTTTGTATTTCGTAGCTCGCTATATATTGCTCGCTTTCTACGTTGTCTAGGTACCAACGACTTGTATGATGCTGGCCGCGGCCATGTCTGCGCGGAAAAGATACAACCTTTGCCAGACAACATGAAAAAGAAGGTACTATGGGCTCTATAAAATATTGACAGATGAGATAGCTCAAATTTCTACGGGCACACAATTGCCCATTATGTTTCCCGCGGTCTTTGCTTGAATTTACTATAAACACATACACATTCGAAATACTTTCTTGTAGATTTCTGTAATTCTTGAAGCGATTCCCTCGAAAAGTAAAAGCGAGATTGCCGAAGTTCTACAGGCTTGTGAGTACGATGTTGATCGAACATTAAACTGCTTCTACGCAGGTAAAAATACGTTATAATCTCGCTTGTTTATTGAATTATTGCCAACCTTTTGCGAAATTAATACATTGCAATATTGCATGGGGATTCGATTCTAATATATTTTAGAATTTTAATGTGTTACATGCGTTTCGTAGCGACGTTATGCTTTTTTAAATCGTATATTTTCCCTTTCAGACGGCGGAATGGACGAGCAGAATGAATGGACAGTTCAAGGAAAACGAAAGGTAGATTGTTTTTTAAATTATATTGTTTTGCTTTCAAGCCATAAAGCAACCTGCAAGAGTAATTATAATCGAACTAAAATATTCACTAATATCCATAATTGTTAACGTGTTATGTGTATTTAAGTATTACAAAGTGTTCCAGCTTTGAAATGGCGTCCTTGTACAATTTTGGGTTTAAAATTGTAAGTTTTTACTATCTTTAACAGGGCCTTTTAGCACGGTTTTTAGAATTAGATAAACAAACTTCGTATTATGGTTTAATGGTGTTTTGTTCAGACAATACTTCCGGAATTTTTTTCTTTCGTTTTGAAACAAATGTTGCAATGAATTAAAATCACAAATTTTACGACGGTAAAAACCGAACAGTTTTTCCATATTTGCGGTACAATTTCTTCAGGGAACCTGCAAAATTTTCATATGTTGAGATGGATGAATATTTTTGCATTATTTTTAGGTAATTCGTATTGTTTGCCTGTAAAAAACAAGTGTTAAATTTTTGACATATATTAAACATCTGGTGTGCTATTTATGGCCGAATGTGCCAAAACACCAACTGCTCTACACACAAGCACTGTATTCTACGAAATTGCAGGCCAGGGAATCTAGGAATTGATAAGGAAATGTTAAAAGGTCTTATCACATCTCATCTTTTGAACTCGTCTGCTGATATTTATATCGCTCAGGTCATTATTGTATGTACACACTTTGTGATTGCTATGGTAATTGAATCTCATTTACATGTGATATGCTCAATTAATTGCATTTTACAATTTGGGAACAAATTTTGGATGTAGTCCAAATGAAATGCTTCTTCCCCTTTCGCAAAAAATTTAAAATTTTCAACACTTTAAGGCAGGTTGATTGATCGCTTTTGAATCAATTTCGTTTTGTATTAAAATAGCATTTCTGTGGAGTATGTGGCATTTGTGTAATTGGGTGTTTAATTTTTGTTTGAATTAAGGAGGCACAAAATTGCATAATGTTAATTGAATTCATATCTGTCTGACCAGTTTGACATTATGAGTTGAGTTTCAAATAAGGCTCGTTATCAAGTTGGTTAGGTCATATGGTGTATATGCAATGCTCTTTTTCAAGAACTTGCCAAGAGTGAAATATCCATGCTCTTTTGTACTGTAAATTTAATAATAGATTCACTTTACCCATTAATGCCCAAATGCAGCAGCTCCCAGCGGTGTGCGAGAAGGCTTCTTTTGATGAGTAAAATTATCTGGCACCCCTTAGAGCAATTTTACTTGTCAATAGCGAATAACCCATTAAGTCGCAATGTGCCCCATCACGCTAGAAGAGCTGGATTTCAGAGGCGCCGAATATCGATAATAGCGGGGGCAGATATTCATATATTCATGTTCACAGACTGTAAAAACAATCGATTTCAAAAGAAATTAATTGGGCAGAACACAAATATATGAATATCTGACCCCCCCCCCCCCCCCCCATTCCGGCGCCTCTGCTGTTATTTAAATATCGACATTCTTATAGCAGAACAAGAAGAAGAGAAAACAAAAGAAAGCAAAGGATGGTAGTGATTCGCAGTCCCAAAATGATGCTGAAAACTCAAGTACAGCAGGTAACATTTACCAGAAACTTTGGCTGAACCAAGGGGCTCATCAGCACTGTGGCACAGTTGTCACAGCAAGCGCTTTAATCACCTCTGAGTTTGTGGGTTCAATTCCCACTACAGACTCGTATGGAAAGAGTCCGTCAATGCCGTGGTTTTTCTCCGGGTATTCCAGTTTCCTCCCAAAGGGAAAGTTGACAGGGTGGGTTAGGATAAACACAGTTATTAAGAAAGTAACACCACAATTGTTGACCTGAACAATGCTGAACAGTATTGTTAACAACCGGGAACAATATGGGCAGCAAAATATTGTTCAGGCCTGTTTTCAACAACATTGTTACAGCCTAGGCCTTTTTTTGCAGTGTACACGGCAAAAAACGCTCAGGTTGATGCAATACTGATAAAAACAGGATTGAACAATGTTTTGCTGCCCACATTGTTCATAGCTGTCAACAATATTGAACAATATTGTTACACCCGATTCAGGCTCAACAACATTGTTCAATATTGTTGACAAGTGTGAACAACGTGGGCAGCAAAACATTGTTCAGTCCTGTTGAGCAACGGTCTTGGCGTTTTTTGCCGTGTAGGCTAAGTATGTAATTAGGTAAGTGTATAATACTTGATGTAAAGCATGTTTGATCATGTTCACATGTAAATTTGCGCTATAGAAATGCTAATCGTAATATCATCTCAAACAGTATCTGTTACCTTGTTAGGTCCAAAACCTGAAAAGCAAGCTGAAACAGGGCAGAAAGAAGTTGGTGAGAATATTATGAATGGGTCGGTGCCAAAAGTACTTCCAATCGGTTAGTAGAATTTATTGTGAAAATATCCATTTTAAATGTATCCAGATATTCCAGGGTCTAGGAGCAAGTCTATAATAGTTTTTTTTCGCCCATCAAATAGTGTTGACCATAAATTACAGTTTCTTTACTAAATATTCAATACTCAATAGTACTCAAAACTTTCTATGACAACTGTGGCGGGGTGAAGGTGTACCCCCTGAAACTCCCACTGATAAGGTTAGGTCTATCCCTGGAAGATGATAGCTGCACGGTCAAAATGTTTCTGGTCATCAACTGATGTTCTGATATTTTTATTTACAGATGAACCAACGACAACCAGTAAAGACAGCCCAAAATCACTTGAAAACTTAAAACCTGTATCAAACGATATACCAAAACCTAGTGAGACCACCCCTACCCCAGCATCACCCCCACCTCCTTCCCCACTTCCACCTCCTTCCCCACTCCTCTCTCCTACTGGCTCCACTGCAAGCTCATTGCAAGACTCACAGACATCGAACAAAAGCCGAGCTGGGAGTTCGACAAACGAGAAACACCCAAGAATGCGAACAACTTCTGGTTCTGGCTCTGAAGTCATTAAGAAGTCTTTAAAAGATCTTGAGAGGTCATCTGTGTCGATATCAAGATACCAGGCAAAGCTTGATGAGGTTTGTTTTGGCCAAGGATTGTTTGAATACTAAAGCTTGCATACAATACTCTTGCCTGATTAAATTCTATAGAAAAAGAAAGGTTCTTTAACCCATTGACGAGTAAAACTGTCTGGCATTAGACAGAGTAAAATACTAAAGTAGGGTGCATCAGGGTGCATTGCCACTTAAAGGGTTAATGAGGGTAACATTGTTTACTGGTGACCCGGTAGTTTACGTATAAATTGCCCTGAGTATGAAAGTACAATTTCTGTGTTCATGGTAGATGACAAACAGAATGCAGTGTTCTGACCCTCGGGTGGTGTCAGCAGACACTTTCTGTTACCATCCTGAATCTAAATATCTTGAAGTGGTTTGGATATATGGCCCTGTTTTCATTAGACCAGGACGAAGTCAAACCGGAATGATAAATGAAATTGTCAACATGTTTACATGAGACTGGTACGAAAATCACAAAATTTTCAATTTATTCCCCTTGCCAGGCAATTTTGTTTTTTAGATGGCTTTTGTTAGCATGTGTTGTTCCAATGTCAAGGTTACAGCCAAGACCGGTCTGAAATGTATTTGTGTTGACATTCATCCCGGTCTGAATTCATGCCGGTGTGAAGTCAGTCGGCTCGGTCCAGCTGGCGGAATGACTTGAGACTGGTCTGAGTTATTTTTGTCCCGGTCTCATGTTAACGTCTATTATAAATAATACTATGACCGAAACGGTCCCGGTTTGATTTTGTTCTGGTCTCATGTAAATGGGGCCTAACTGCCATTTATTTCATTTTCAGCAAGCAGATTTATCCACCAAAACGTTGACGAAAAGTTTCCAAGCAATTAGAGAAGCGTGAGTAATCTATGCATGGTCTTACCATTAACATCAAATTGTATACACTCAAAGCAATATGTATAATAATCAAGATATCTTATTTATAGTTTGAATGAAAGAGAACAATATTTACAAGCGCATCAGCAGTCTGTTATAGAAGAAGCAAGTATGTCCTGTACACTGTTTTTGAAAAGAACCAATCACCTTGTACACACTTCAAAATGCACAAGTTGTAACAAACCTGTAGCAGGCTTGTAGCAATGCTGTTCCAACAACTTGTCAACAGGATGTGTTTCCACTGCTTGTTCCCAGCTTGTTCACAAGTTGTTAACGGCTTGTTGACAACTTGCTACAACGTTGTTGAGCTCAACAGACTTGTTACAAGTTGTTCCAACAACTTGTTATCGTCCTGCAATTCAACAATTCGTCAACATGTTGTGATTGACAACCTTGTAGCAACTTGCTGAAATAACAACATTGTTACAACTTGTCGACAAGCTTGCTACGAGCCTGTTGCGAACACATCTTGTTGACAAATTGTAAGATTTTTACGTGTGTTCGTGGCTACACGTTCTCATCGTTTAATTGCGCTGAAGGAAGCGAATGAAATTCGCATTGTACATTCTTACATAATCTAAGTTACAATACCGTGTTTTATTTTTCTTGGTAGAAAAGTTGTTGGAAGAAAGACAAGAAAATGCGGCGGGGTTGAAGTTTAAATGTAATCGAGTTGGAAGTATGACTGACGAAGAAACATCCGAATTAAGAAATGAAATAAAGGTATGACGATTTCATAATCTGCTTCTTATCACCTGCTAGAAATAGTTCTTTTTTACTTGAGCTTTTTCTTTCCCTTTTCCTTTTCCCAGAAGGAGATTGGGCCTTGTTATGTTTTTTTCTTGAGTAACAACAATTGTCCAACTTGTTTGTTTTCAGCATTTCGTAGGGGAAAGAAGGATAGATGAAGATCTGGGCAAGACGATCAGTTTTGTACGAGATCAAGAAAAAATTATAGAGGTACTGTAACCTTCTTGTAGATTTTTTTCTTTGCACAAAGCTACTAAGGAAACAAACTAAAAGTTGATGTTTGTTATATTTTGCAGGCTGTAAAGAATTTTGGCGAAGGTATTGTACCTAATGTATAAGCGTTTGGTAGTTTGTTGCACAATAACGCATATGTGTCTCTCTGTGTCAGACCAAGTTTCCTGTTGTACATAATTGTTTGATTATAATTTCTCGATTTTCTCCTCAGAGAAGGGTATTTTCAGTTTGACTCTACCAAATACCACAGGTTTTCTTTGGGCTGTACAGTTTCCTCCCGAAGAAACACTAGAGCAATAAGGGATTACCTTTACTGGACCGATCTAGGGAGACTGCAGTTTAGGACTGATAGAGGAATCAAGTGTAAATGAAGTTAAGTCCATGCATGAGGTCTAACGAGGGTGAGAATTTATGAGAATTGGCAAGCGAGAGTTTGCATGAGAGTTTTCTCAACTCTCATGCTCTAGTCAAACGTGAACAAGAGTTGCATGCAAGAGTTGATGAGAGTTGAGAAGCGAGAGTTTGCATGAGAGTTTTCTCAACTCTCGGACCGCGGTCAAACATGAACAAGAGTTGCGTGAGAGTCGATGAGGTTGAGAAGCGAGAGTTTGCATGAGAGTTTTCTCAACTCTCGGACCTCGGTCAAACATGAACAAGAGTTGCGTGAGAGTCGACGAGGTTGAGAAGCGAGAGTTTGCATGAGAGTTTTCTCAACTCTCGGTCAAACATGAACAAGAGTTGCGTGAGAGTCGATGAGGTTGAGAAGCGAGAGTTTGCATGAGAGTTTTCTCAACTCTCATGCCCTGGTCAAACATGTCAAACATGAACAAGAGTTGCGTGAGAGTCGACGAGGTTGAGAAGCGAGAGTTTGCATGAGAGTTTTCTCAACTCTCGGTCAAACATGAACAAGAGTTGCGTGAGAGTCGATGAGGTTGAGAAGCGAGAGTTTGCATGAGAGTTTTCTCAACTCTCATGCCCTGGTCAAACATGTCAAACATGAACAAGAGTTGCGTGAGAGTCGACGAGGTTGAGAAGCGAGAGTTTGCATGAGAGTTTTCTCAACTCTCGGTCAAACATGAACAAGAGTTGCGTGAGAGTCGATGAGGTTGAGAAGCGAGAGTTTGCATGAGAGTTTTCTCAACTCTCATGCCCTGGTCAAACATGTCAAACATGAACAAGAGTTGCGTGAGAGTCGACGAGGTTGAGAAGCGAGAGTTTGCATGAGAGTTTTCTCAACTCTCGGTCAAACATGAACAAGAGTTGCGTGAGAGTCGATGAGGTTGAGAAGCGAGAGTTTGCATGAGAGTTTTCTCAACTCTCGTACCTTGGTCAAACGTGAACAAGAGTTGCGTGAGAGTTGACTGAGCAGCCAAAATTCTCATCAACTCTCATTAAAATGTAGTCTGGATCAGGGGGTTTTCTGTTTCACTGAAGCTGTATCCTACTCTCAGGCAGTGCTGGCCAAGCTGGGAAACCTCGTCGCCTCCTAAAACTCTGACGCCAGAAAACCTCTGAACCCAGGGTAATTGAAATGTGAACCTTCACGAGATTGCATGAGAGTTGATGAAAATTCCAACTCCTATCAAGTCTCACGCTTGGGCTTTAGTTTATTATAGTTTATATCAACTCAAAATCATCTCAAGTTTTCTTCATTTGTTCCTAGTTCCTCCAATTAAACACCATTATACACCATACAAGCGAAAACACCCAGAACCCTCGAAACCAATCTCCCATAAACCTCCGCCAGTGAAGACAACCACTGCATCGAGCAATGTCTCGACAACCACATCTACCACTTCTACTTCAAGTGAAACGAAAAGTACTCATTCAAAGAACGATAAACGACCAGTGTTGTCGCCGTCACGGCTTAAAGATCAAGCGGAGATGCATGCAAGGCTAAAACAAGCTGTCAAGGAAGCACAGGTAAAAGCGTAGCACAAGTAATTTGTTTATTTTTGCTTGTACAAGCTCAGAAAATATTTTTCTGGTAGTTGTATCTAGCAAACTGCAGCTGTCTTGAATATTTAAACTACACTTAATCACCATGAAGCAATATAATTCAATGCCAAAGTCCGTGTCAAGAAAATAATTATTTTTTAATATATAAATATTCTAGGAGCAACCATAAGTTATTATAAGTCGACCGTTGTATACACTACAGTACTGTACAACAGTGCACTGTCAATGACCTTTCTGTGTCTTGTTTAATGTTTCGTTTAACTTTAACGTTTCGGCTACCTATACGGCAGCCATTATCAAAGACGTATTGCAGTTACAAAAAAAAATTTACAGTTATAATAATTTCATCTCTTATTTTATTTTGACGCAAGATAAAATTATTATAACTGTAAAATTTTTTGTAACTGTGATACGTCTTTGATAATGGCTATCGTATAGGTAGCATCAGAAACAATTATTACGAAAGTCACCGAACTGTGGAATCGCATCAAAAATTCGTATATCGACCACTCCCACAAACGTCTACGACCGCGCCTACATATTTTTGCATGTTTACAATTCTAATTTTAAACAGCCAATCGACGTTTAATTGTAATTGTTACCAAGAACCTGATTGGCTGTTCAAAATTAGAATTGTAAACATGCAAAACTATGTAGTCGAATGTAGGCGCGGTCGTAGACGTTTGTGGGAGTGGTCGATATACGAATTTTTGATGCGATTCCACAGTTCGGTGACTTTCGTAATAGACAGTTTATTATAAATATATAAGTAATATTTTTATTTTATATGTGTTAACAGTTGAAGTTGACCAACATTCTTTACTCCGTGATACAACACTTAAGAGTGAATGTCAGTAAAAATCGAACATATGAGACATTTCGCGGCCACGACTGAAAAATCGATTTTGCTCAAATTTTGCCCAGATATACCTTATTATATCGGAAAATGCACCATATATTCTTTTAGGTCAAATGCTTTTTTAACTTTGAGAAAATGCCGTTTTAACACGACCACCCTAAATCGCCATTTTTTCTGGGAAAATATGTGCTGATTTTACAAATAAATTTCACAACGACAACCGTTTCTAATCGATCTAAAACCTTAAAAATATTGTTTTCGGTTATTCAAAGGACGGTATACATGACTTACAGAAAATCTGAGTTACTTTTAGGAATAGATATAATCGTAGTTTTGGAGCACACTATCTTACTTCATTTACGATACCCTCTTAACAAAATCGATTTTCACCATGCGATAAAGCTCCAAATCGATCATGCTTCTACTAGTTGGCTCTTTAATAAGCAAGCTTTCAATTGACGTAAATACTTCTTTTGGCAAATGAATACGCGATAAACGACAGCGCGTTGAAATCGTCCGTTTTTGCGTCTTGCAAGTCAAACGCTGTTAATTTACATACCGTCGAAGTAAACAATTTAATCAAGTATTTTAAGTATTTTACCTTTTGAGAAGAAGATATATTCTTGAATGGAGACTTTTTCCCTTGCTTAGTTTAAAATTGGTCCAAAAATCCAGAGATATTTGTAAAATATCATCATATACAGGTATTTTGAAATATAATATTGTTGTCAGTTGCATGACAACTTCAGATCATTGTTCAATATTGTCTACTTTTAATAGCGCAAACATACAAATCGATGAGCTGTTTAGGGATTTTATATTTGTTAATAAATTTCCCAAAATTAGAACTTCAATTGACAATTTTGTTCCAGTTTGCATTGATCCATATAATGTACCATTTAGTATTTACATATCGACTATCGAGTATAAATGTTTACGAATACATAAGTTAATTATTAAGCAGCTGTTAATAGCGTGCGTGTGAAATGAACATTTATCCATACAAGGATTTGTTATTTTATTATATATTCCACCACCTCAACTCAAATTATAGGCATATAGCAAATGCTGTAGTTTAGAATAATGTGTGTTTACTTTGATGCACAGTTAAAATAATCAGTAAAATTACT